CCATGGCATGTGTAGTACCTATGTAACAAACCTGCACGTTCTACACGTGTACCTCAAAACTTAAAGTATAATTAAAAAAAAAAAGTAATGTCTTCATAAATTATCAGGATTTGGGTGACACACAGCGTTGAAAGTGTTGGTTCCTTTTAAGTCTAAAGGAGAAGGATTGTGAACACTTACAGGACAGTTGACCTGAAACGAAGTATTTGATACCATTCTTGCAACTCCTAAGTGGCTAAATAGCATCAGGGTTAGAGTTGGACTTTTTCTTGACATTAAAAGTAGGCTGTAGCATTTTTACTTTGCATAGGATTTCTTCATCTAATCAGTAGACCTTTGCAGATATCTATAATGTGTCAGGACCTGTTAAGCCTTCACATCTAGGAAGGCTAAAGGTTGAGATTATCTGTTTCATCCTGTCTTGGCTGATCACATGCACATACAACCACACACTCACTTGCATACACACACATGAGTATGAGGAGAATTCAAAATGTTCATGGAAAAATGAAATTAAATGATAAAAGTTTTAAAATATAAACTTTAATTCTCAACATAAGCTCCATCAAATTCAAGACACTGTTATAAGCTATTTTAGCAGCTATTTAGTCCACCCCTAAAGAACTGAGGATTCTGGGAATTTAATCATGCCAATGCAGTCTTTCTTACATTGTTAACTAAAGAAAAATGGGCGCCCTTTAAAGATTTTTAAAGATTAGGTAACAAAAAAAAAAAAAGTCAGGAGGAGTCAAATTCTGACTGTAAGGTGAATGCCTAGTAGTTTCCCCAAAGAAATTCTCAAAAAATTGCCTTTGTTTGATGAGAGGAATGAGTAGGAACATTGTCATGGTGGAGGAAGACTCTCTGGTGAAGCTTTTCGATACATTTTTCTTCAAAAGCTTGGGCTAACTTTCTGAAAACACTCTCATAATTAGCAGATGTTATCATTCTTTGACCTTCTAGAAAGTCAAGAAACAAAATACCTTGAGCATCTCAAACAACGGCTGCTATGACCTTGGCTTTTCACTGGTCCACTTGATTTGACTGGACCACTGCCACCTCTTGGTAGCTATTCCTTTGATTGTGCTTTGTCTTCAGGATCACACTTGTAAGGCCATGTTTTAACTCCTGTTACAATTCTCAAAGAAATGCTTCACAGTCTTGATCCCACTTGTTTAATATTTCCATTGAAAGCTCAGCTCTTGGCGGCCGCTGAACTGGGTGCAATGATTTTGGCACCCATTGAGTGGAAAGTTTGCTCAGCTTTCATTTTTCAGTCAGATTTGTGTAAGCTGAGCCAGTTGAGATATTTACCATTGTTTCTGCTGTTAATCATTGGTCCTCTTCATTTAAGTCACAAATAAGATTATTTTTTTTTCTCCCAAATTGATGTGGATGGCATATCACTTGCAGGCTTCATCTTCAACACCATCTTGTCCCTTCTTCAAACAAGTTATCGGTTTGTAAGCTGCTTATTTTGGGGGGGCATTGTCCTAATGAACTTTTCATAAGGCATCAGTGATTTTGCCATTCTTCTGCTTAAGCTCCACCAAAAAATTTGATGTGTGTTCTTGCTGTAATTTTAGCAGAATTCATGTTGCTCTGGGAGAGGATCTTTTCAATCATGTCTTACCCTTGTTAGTGCCTCAAACTAGATGTGGTTCAGACACAGCAAGTTAGTGTGAGTTTATTTTGGTGCAAAAGATTGAAATCTGTGTATAGTTTTTTCATAACACATATTTTTAATGAACTTTTTGAAGACCCCTCATGTAGACACACTCACACAATGCATGTATGTATTGTCGATGAAGTTATATTGGCTATTATAAGCTATTATATGTGGGATATGAAACTCAAGGGATTTTACTGAAAAATCTCAGCCTCAATTGGTTCCTCTTACATTTGCATATTCTATCTGCCAGGTGGCAAGGCAGAATTGACTGTAATAAGGAAAAAACTACCATTTAGCTCCAATTGTTGTCCATGCTTCAGAGCTGATTTTTAACCTTGAGAGTGACAGCAGCCACCTGGGCCAGGGGCAGACAGGTAGTTTGCCTCTCCTGGAACTGGAGGCTCCTCTAGCAGCCTTACCTTCAAGAACCTAATTGGAATGCTTTGTTTTTCCTTTTGTGTGCTGGTCAAAGAGAGGCCCTGGAAGGTCTGTCATGCAGATTGACAGTTTCCTTTTTAAGGCTGGCCAACTGGGGCCAAAGTTGAAAATGTCAGTAAAAACAAATAGTATTGCAAAAGGGCCTTGTACATTTCCTTCTCCGTGCTCGCATTGCCCCATCAGCCAAGTATTGCATGAGTGACTTAAGAGAACACCACTAGGCTTGAAAGACGGTGAACAGCAAAGACACATTTTCTCCATTTCACCTAGTTGCTATTTTCCCCCCAGGTGCTAATGATGCAAACAAAAGAAGGGAAAAATAGTAGACATTGGTTTATGTCTTTTCAAGTTCCATTTCTTGTTTCTTCTTTTACTATTTTCAGGATCAAGGAAGACAATACAGAATTTTAAGTTTTCTTATCTCATTTTGCATTGTTAGATATTGTTTCCTAGTGGTTGGGACCTGCTTCCTGCTCAGGAAGGAGAAGGCAGTGGTTGCCCTCACAATTCAGTAATAGTGATTCTACATTTGTTGTTATTTAACAATTGTTTATGTGCTCCACTCTCCTTTCTTCAGTTGTGCTAATGATAGAAAAGGAAACTTGGGTACATAGGAAAGGGGTTCAAAGCATGAGTTTGGATGTTAAACAGGTCTGAGTTAGATTTCTGGCTCTGCCACTTAAGAGCTGGGTGACTTTGGGGAGTCATTTAATTTTTCTGGGCTTCACCCACAAATAATACACACATACATGAAACTCACCTCTCAGGGTTCTGGTGAAGATGATGTGTAACACAAAATCTCAAAGGTACTGGGTACCCAGGGATGCTGCAGTAATAGGTCTCCTCTCCTATTGCTGTCAGCTCAGAAATATAGAAAAGAGCAACTGGAATTCAGGAAGGAGACTATAGGCTCTAGCTAGAAGTACTTACTCACTTCCTTGGGCAACTCACTTCCCTGAGTCTCAATTTTCTTTTTGATAAATAAGTAGAACCTTTCTACCCACCTTTAGACCTGTGCAAGGAAGAGGTTGAGCTGGGCTAATGCCAGTTCTCTCTGATTCCAGACCTGGTTCTTAACTAGCGACAAATAGTGATGCCTGGCCAAGCACCTGGGTCATTGTCCCAAGACAATGTTAACATGTCTCCTTAGAGAAGGACTGTCATTGAGGCCCAAGGAAGTGTTCAGGAGGAACCAAGCTTCACCAGGATAGTTTCAATGACTGGGAATCATATAGTCCTAGGAGTTTTCAATCAGGCCTTTGAAGTCTTTTGAGATTGTTACACAGGATCAAGTAGAACAGGATTATTTCTACCTCTTTACTGAAATTTCAGATTGATGTCTATGAATCTCACTAAAGTACTCGTCTTGAATAATTTTCTACCCAGTTGATAGCAGTTAGGCTTCATTTTCAGTGCCATTAACTCTGGGAGCAAACGACAGGCTTTGGGTCTGCCAATATAGGAAAAGTGTGTTTCTGAGGAAATTCCAATGAGTCATTTATTTGTATACTAAATGCTTGTTGAGCATCTACTCTCTACTGAGCACTGTTGTAGGGGTTAGGGATAACAGCCACAGCAGGTAAACGGCCTTGCTTTCTCAGTGCTTTCATTCCAGGGAGAGAAAGACAGTAACCACACACACCAATAGATGAACACGTTGTTGTGGAGACACAAAATCCAAATGAGGTGAGGGAGAGACTGGGGATAAGCCAAGGGTGTTTAGGAGAGCATTGTAAAGTGAGGTGATGTGGGGTTAAAATTCTGAATGACATTGGGAGGCCGAGGTGGGTGGATCACAAGGTCAAGAGATCAAGATCATTCTGGTCAACATGGTGAAACCCCGTCTCTACTAAAAATACAAAAATTAGCTGGGCATGGTGGTGCACGCCTGTAGTCCCAGCTACTTGGGAGGCTGAGGCAGGAGAATTGCTTGAACCCAGGAGGCAGAGGTTGCGGTGAGCCGAGATTGCGCCATTGCACTCCAGCCTGGGTAACAAGAGCGAAATTCCGTCTCAAAAAAAAAAAAAAAAAAAAAATTCTGAATGACAAAAAAAAATGAACCACCTGTGTGACCATTTGAGGATGGAACATTCCAGGCAGAGAAGAAGGCAGATACAAATGTTCCAGAATGGGAAGGAGCTCAAAGGTTCTGAGAGAATTTAAGAAAAGTGTTGTGCTTAGAGCAGAGCAAGCTACTTTGAGGTTAGAGAGGAAGCCAGGAGCCAGATTATGTTGGTTTTAGCCATGATAAGAACATTTATGCTGAGTGCAAACGTAAACTCTTGGAGGTTGTAAGCCAGGGAGAGATACCGCTTGATTGTGGAAAAATGCTCATAACATGCGATTAAGTGGAAAAAGGACTCTGAAATCTAGAACTGTATAGTCAGTACTATTTCAATTATGCAAGCATATGTGTGAGTATATATACATGTGTGTCTGTGTGTATATACATACTTTACATATATATGCATAAAGTACGTGTGTGTGTGCAGATGAGAATGTGTGTATTCAGTACATAAACTGGAATAAGATACAGAAAAGTATTTGCTATAGTTTTCATAGTGGTGGACTTAATTACCTTCATTGCTTTCTTGTTTTGTAAGTTTACCATAAGTTTGTGTGACATCAATAATCAAAATTAAATCATTTACTTTTTAAAAACTTTGTTGCAGAGCAAGCAATGGAGAGAATATAAGTGTGACACTATTTTACCATGTCTTATCTCAGGTTTGAGCTTAATGCTATAGTGCTTTGGGATGCTGGAGTGAATTTTGAAGATTCTGGCTACGAGAGAAGTTTGGCTTTTTAAGGAGTCTGTCCTAAAGGAAACTTCTAGTTGTCTCCAAATTATTTATGCAAAAGAATATGACATTTCTGTTTCCTCCCACAGATTTGAATATAACCTGCCGCTTTGAAGGTGTATACCACGTGGAGAAAAATGGTCGCTACAGCATCTCTCGGACGGAGGCAGCTGACCTCTGCAAGGCTTTCAATAGCACCTTGCCCACAATGGCCCAGATGGAGAAAGCTCTGAGCATCGGGTTTGAGACCTGCAGGTAAGAGACCAGCACCCAACCACTGGGGAAAACTGGTGACCTGGGCCCAGGGAGCTGTCCTTAGAACTGGAAGGCTCCTCTCTGTTAGCTGAATGGATTATGGCCTAAAGAGTCAACCCCACCTATTAATTTGGCCAAGTCAATCTGGAACCTGTATGACAACTAGAGTTTAAAGTCAGCTAAAGACACCTTTGTGAATCATAGAGCAGGAGCCCAGAGGAAGCCATTAGGGGTCCTCTCGGCTGGAATCCTCTTGTCTAACCTGCTTCCACAGAGCTCTCGTGGCTTTGAAGAAGCTGCAATATCATTGTCAGAACCACAAGAAAACATAAACCAAATAACAGTGTTTAAAATAAATATGTGGCTGGTAGAGTCTTGGGCCTGCAGACTTGGCTCACAGCAGAACTTTCAAGCAATTCTCTCTTGCTCTCACTGAAAAAAATTTTTGTTTTTTTGTTTTTCTTCTATGTTTCTCTGGTTTGAGACAGTAAATAAAAAGGCATGAAAGTTATTAAGCTATATTATATTAAGATTTATTATTATTGGGAGCCTGAGAAGGCTCCTACCGGGTATCTTAGTGCTTCATAGAGTCTTCCTCAAACTATGGCTCCAAGATAATCACAAGAAGTCAGGACTTTATTTGTTGAATTTCCAATAGCCTTGTGGTAAGCAGGGCACAAGGAGAGCAAGCCATCGTGGCAGTCGCGGTGAGTTGTTTTGGTTTGGTTTGTTTTCACTAAAAGAGGTCTGAGTAATCTCTACAACTGCTCTGAAGTTTCTACCCCAGCCTGCAGCTGCGCTTTTGCAGCGTCTTTGGGTGGTACAGTTTTCCTTTCTCTGCAGCACACACTCACATGCACACAGACTGCTTTTGAAAAGCCAAGCTGTAGAACTGTTTACGGAAACCATTAAGTGTAAGTTAAGTGCTTCTATCCCCCTACGTTGGTTACAGAGTCATGCACCTGCATTACGAGCAATGGCTGAGACCTTTGCTGAAAGAGAAAAGGGAAATCTTTTGTCTTACATTTAAATTAATTAAGATACTAAAATTAAAACTTGAGTCCTTCACTAGCACTAACTACATTTTTTTTTTTTTTTTTTGAGACAGAGTCTTGCTCTGCCGCCCAGGCTGGAATGCAGTGGCATGATCTCATCTCACTGCAACCTCCGCCTTTTGCCTCAGCCTCCTGAGTAGTTGGGATTACAGATACCTGCCACTGTGCCCACCACCATGCCTGGCTAATATTTGTATTTTTAGTAGATACAGGGTTTTATCATATTAGCCAGACTGGTCTTGAACTCCTGACCTCGTGATCTGCCTGCCTCGGCCTTCCAAAGTGCTGGTATTACAGGTGTGAGCCACTGCACCTGGTCACTAACTACATTTTAAGTGCTCAGCCATCAATGGCCAGTGGCTACTGTATTGGATGATGCAGGTTATAAAACATTTCCATCATTGTAGAACGTTCTATTGAGCAGCACTGCTCTAAAATAAAGAGCAGATGTATGTAGACGTCTCTATGTGTTCAGAGCTCGATCTGGGAGAAGATGAAAGGAGCAGAGAAAAGGAGAAGGCTCTGGTGGCTACTGAACCTGTACTGTAGGCTGCAGTGAAGACAGGCCAATTAGCAAATCCATTATTCTATTCCCAAGGCTAATTATTTTAATATGGCCCTGACTAGGCCACTGGCCTAAGAAAATAAATTTAGTAAACTGAACTTTGATTGTGAAATATAAACAAGGCATATTTGAAAAATAGAGAAATGCTCCCATATGCTGAGGACCAGGAGAGCTCTTACAACTGCCACTGGCCGATCATCAAGCACTGAGATGCTGGGAAACCTACGGCCCACCTGGCCAAACCCCTCACTTAATCCTCAAACTACACTATTGGTCAATATTATCAGCTCATTTTATGAATGAAGCAACTGAGTCTTAGAGAAGTTCCACACCCTGGGACACACAGCCTGCCCATGGAGGTTCTAGAATTCTGGATCTGCTTAGCCTGAGCCCAGGACAGGATTTAATGACCAAGGCCTCCTTGGGAACTTAAAAGGGATGGGAACTATGCTGCCTGGATTTGCTGAATATTCTTTGTTCCCTGTGATCAATGACTTACTCATGCCACATACACACATGTAAACTTTAATATCCCCAGTTCACAGTTAGCATGACACAGAAAACTGCCAGGCAACATGAAGTGGCAAAAACTCAGTAATAGCTTACAAAGAGTGCAATCTGTTCTAGAATGTCGGTGCTATCCATACTTGATGATACGATGTGATGGGGTGAGTTGGCAGGTAGGTTCACCAAGGAGTCTTAGTTAGAAAAAGAAAAAGATAAACTGCACCAAAGAAATCTATCATGTCACCAATAACTGGTATTAAGTATTGCAAAAATCATTTCCATAATTTCGCTCAGGTAGCTATGAATCAGCTTTCTGCCATGGGACAGATGGCAGAGTCTCATGGGCTAGGATGAAACCTTAACAGCTACTCTCTTTTGTCTGCCCCACTTTGATTGGTAGCAACTCTCAGGTGCGTGAAAACTTATTACCATTTAATTGTGCCTGCTCCCCCTGCCAAGCTAAGGAGACCCTGGGGAAACCAGTCTGTCTGTTCAGATGAGAAATTAGTCATTCGAGCTACAATTGCCACATAGATATGAGTTCTGTGTGCCTGGAAACTCCAAACTCACAGACATTTCCATGGGTCTTGCAGGGCAATGGATTCCATGCTGTTGCCACTGGCAGGAAAGATGAAAAGCATTGATGCTGTGCATTTTAGCCAGAATTACATTTTCAAATACCTGCTGGATTTAGCTTTCTCCTCTCTGCTCTCCTGCTGCATCACAGCTTCCCTTGCACACAACATTTTCTCAGCCCACATCTCATTTTTTGAGGCATTTTATATTTTTTAAAAATGTGTAATAAGTGAGTTGTTAGCCACCAGGATGCTGCTGGAAGAGGCTAGGCTCTGGTATCTGAAAGGGCCTCCAGCTGTAACAAGTTCCCAGACAAACCTTGGTAGGGAGAGAGGGGTTAAGCATTTCTTTGGGCGTGCTGCTTCTGGAAAGTTCCTGAGCTACATGAGCCGTTGCTATCTGCTTACTTAATTGCTATGACTCCCATTGTAATGATGGTTAATTTATTCCCACTGGCAAAAGAATTATACCTGGGATGCTCAGGAGACAGTGTGCTTTGTACTTTGCATATGAACAAGGCTTCATGTTTAGGATAATGGAGTATGGAGTAAGGGGGCTTGCAGACTTATGTCTGAGAAAAGGGAAATGGGACATGAGGCAGGTCTGAAATATGTGTACCAAAATGAAGAAGTACCTCTTCCTGTTTATGGAAGCTGACCATTTTGTGTATTTTCTGGAAAACATAAAGGTGACCCAAAGCCAGCATGAATCTCACATCAAAATTTCTCTCTTCTGTGACTCAGGCTTCCTTCTGCTTGTTCAAATAGACTCACCACTGCTGACCACAAATTTCGATTGAACTAATTATCCCTTTTATGATTTTTTTTTAAATAAAAAAAGCTCTTTACAGGTCTCTAAATAAAATCACTTTGTTTCTATCAGTCATGTTGATCTCTTTCCCTCTCTGTGCTGTTATTTTTGGATTTCACATAATTCGGTTGTTGAAATCTGATATCCCTAAGGGTGAATTGAGTGAAGAGTTGCATGGCATTAAATGTCATTCAATGGGATATTATGAAATTCCCATCTTAGTCTTTCAGGTCAATATCCTCTTGTTTTTCTCTTGCAGGTACGGGTTCATAGAAGGGCACGTGGTGATTCCCCGGATCCACCCCAACTCCATCTGTGCAGCAAACAACACAGGGGTGTACATTCTCACGTCCAACACCTCCCAGTATGACACATATTGCTTCAATGCTTCAGGTTGGTTCTCAGGCGGGGTGTCTGTTGGCATGAAAGGCTTTGGGAGCCTGGTCTTTGGATCTCAGCTTAAGTGGGGATTGATGTAGCCTCTACTTACGTAACAAATGCTCACTCAATATCTGTATAGCAGAGACAACATTCCTGTCTCCATGGAGCTTAAATGCTGAATTGGGGAGGCAAACAATAAACAAATAAATATTAAATACAGGCTTGGCACTGTATTTAATCCTACCACTTTGGGAGGCCGAAGTGAGCAGATCACCTGAGGTCGGGAGTTTAAGACCTGACCAACATGGAGAAATCCCGTCACTCTTAAAAATACAAAAAAATTAGCCGGGTGTGGTGGGACATGCCTGTAATCCCAACTACTCGGGAGGCTGAAGCAGGAGAATCGCTTGAACCCTGGGAGGCAGAGGTTGCGGTGAGCCGAGATCACGCCATTGCACTCTAGCCTGGGCAACAAGAGCGAAACTCCGTCTCAAAAATAAATAAACAGAACCAAATAAACAAATAAATATTAAATACACTTCAGGGGTGTCCAATCTTTTGGCTTCCCTGGGCTGCAATGGGAGAAGAAGAATTGTCTTGGGCCCCACATAAATTACACAAAGACAAGCAGTAGCTGATAAGCCATAAAACAAACAAACAAAAATCATTCAAAAAAAATCTCGTGATGTTTTAAGGAAGTTTATGGATTTGTGTTGGACCACGTTCAAAGTCATCTTGGACCACATGTGGCCTGCAAGTTGTGGGTCGGACAAGCTTGAAGTCAGAAAGTGATACGAGTGCTATAAAAAAGAAAGCAGAATAAAAGGCTAACTAGTACTAGGGATTTTTTTTATTTTCTGAGAAGGTGGTCAGGGAAATTGCCTCCCAGCCTGTTATGAGAATATCAGTGCTCAGAGGGGAGAATGCCAAGGAATAAAGTCAGAGAGCTAAGCAAGGGCCCACTCACAGGGGGTGATTCATTCTCAATGTGATAGGAAGCCACTACAGGTTTTGAATAAGGGAGTGACATGAATCTAATGATAGCTTTGGGGTGTGAGTCAAATGTCTTAGCTGAGAGGTATTTATTATATGAGAGGACTGGAAAAAAGTCTTGGAGAGTGTATGGTAGGCCTTTGAACTTCTTGAATATCCCTTATCCAACAGTTGAAAGAACCAGAGAAGAAGAAACAGAAGTTAAGATGTAATGCTGGGTCCCAGGCCAGCCTTTCTCCATGTCTTTGGGACTTTCTCCCAACTGTTAACCTAGAAAATCCTGCTTATGAGCCTAATTCAAGTCCTAGCAAAGTTAAAGAATTCTATGCATTAAATTTTCAGATTTTTTTGAGAAGGATCAAAATTATAAATGTCAAATTTCTGGATGCCAACTATCAAAAGTCTTACGTCTTAAACGGGGCCTTCTGTTCCCATGGAAGGTTTGAAGTTGTGTGAAGGAAAAGATGAAGCCTTGAGGCAAACTTGGTACATCTTGCTGGAGTGTCAGTTTTCCTTAAAGGTGGGAAGGGGCTGTTAAATTAGGTGGAAAGGGACTTAAAACATTAGCAGCCTGAGACAAACACAGATATATATGATATATATACACACACAGAGTGAGTAAAATATAAAATATGCATGGATTTTTAAGCTAAAAAAAGGACATCAACTTAATTATGAGATATTTTACCTACTAATAAAAAAAAACCAAAAATTAAAATTAATTGCTAGATTGCATCAGTGGCTTTAGTCTACTATACCACCCACCCTTTGTTGTATGAACAGTAGGGATCAGAGTGGAAATCCAGAGAAGAAATCTACAGTTTAGGACAAAGTATCAGGGCTGGTAGCTGAAATGGAGTGTGTAAAGCCAGTAGATTTTGACAAAAATTTACAGGTCACTAAACCTATGGAGAGGAACAGAAAACTGTAGAATGTTTATTCCTCCCTGTTATGTGAGTGAAGAACACAAATGGAGCTTGACCAAAGGAAAGGTAGTCCAATTAACCCTAAATAGTACACGCCTCATACATACTCATTTCCCATACCCATGTCTAGCATGCCATTCTAATGATATTATAATGAGAAAACCACATAGAAACAAGAGAGAAATAGACACAGAGCAACATGTGGTCTGGCTAGCTCCATCTCGGTGCAACAGGTCAGAGGAAGACGTTGGGAGAGCTTGTGCTTTAGATGAAGAGGTTGGCTCAGTGGGAAAGGGCTGGCATGAGGCCGTACACTCCTGAGTCTCTGGGCACTGCTTATTGCGTCTCCCACTAAGCCTTGCTGAGTGAATGCATGCAATAAGTTATGTAGTTGTATACCCACATTGTCTTACCTGTTTTACAAGTTGGTCTCACCTGCCAGAAGGAACCCTAACCCAAACAGGCAGAAGTTCACACTGTTTTTATTGCCTGGCATCAGAGCCATCTAGGCAGTCTGCTATTGAGACGTGTTTCTATCCTTAATTTTGTTCATGAGGTTGTGCCCATCCCTGGAGTTGGGAGCAAGAGCATTGATTAGTTTTTTTCTCCTTGGAGGGTTAGCTCAGTTGAAAGGTTTGAGAGGTACAGTGGGGGGTGTATTGCTTACTAACATGGATGAATTAAATAATAAAGCTACAAGTAACGTTTCTCCTTTTCTCTGTTTTCCAAATTGACTCAATATTGATGGCTACTTTTGTAAGTTTTCATTTAAGTTTAAAGGGAATATTTATTGATCACCTCCATGTACTCAGTACTGCAGTAGGCACAGATGGGGTAAAAAAACTGGAGGCTACATTTCTTAAAGAAATGAACAATCTTGTTGAAGCAAGGAGACAAAAAAAAAAAATAAAGAAACTGGAGAAGAGGATAAATGTGTTTAAGAAAAAATAAATTCTAAATGTCTTAAATTAGAGTCAGATGATATGGGTATTAAGTGAGCTAAAGATTTCGATAAACTGCCCTGTGCAAAGGATTTCATTGCAAGGATCCTTGATTCTAATTTAGCCTGAGAGCTGCTAGCAGGAGGTCCTGTCCCAGTGCTGTGATACCCCCATAAAACAGCTCTAGGGACAAAAGTCAGCTTGATCTTAGTAGATTGCTTCCATAAGCTTAAAGTTTTAGCAGTATTTTTAGAAACATAGCCTCTGGCTAACAAATGAAAATAAGGCAGAACTTGAAAAGGCCTTTGTGATTTTTTTTTTTTTTTTTTTTTTTTTTCCTCATTCTCAGTGGTTAAGGCCCAATATGAGCCTGGAGACTTCTGTGTGAACACAGAACTGACTTGAATTCATTCATTTATTCAGCTTGCTTTCAGTCAAGTCCTCATTTTCTTCTGAAGGTAGAATTACAAGGAAGATCTACATGTATTTGTTTATCCATTTCCTCCCTTATTCAACAATGATTTGAGAATATTTATGAGATACCTAGAATGTATCAAGAATTGAGGAGGGTGGCTTTCCATCGGACACCCAGAGATTAGTGGCTAGACTGAATAATTAGTGTTTCTCCTGGTGATTTTGGTGTGTTGAAGCCAAGGTTCATGAGAATGCCCACCTCAGAGAATTTCTAACAAGTCCTCAGATTCAAGAACACCTCAGCAGGTCTAGCTTTCCAAGTAGTACAGAGCTCATTAAATGGAAAGAAAGGCGATCTAATGAGGCCCTGGACTCTAATGTGAGAGCATGAATGTGTTAATTGCACATTTGGATCACCATCCACTAAACGTATTTGCCAGATTTGATGTTCTTTATACAAGTTAAAGTGAATTGGAGCATGAAGGGTGTCCATGTGAACAAATGCTCTAATAATTTACGAAACTGTCTTAGGATTTCTGACATCATGCCCCATTCTATTACAACTTGCTGCCCGGAAAATTCCCAATGTACTGTTAATTGCAGTTGTGTATGAAGTTGGGGGAGATTGTTCCATCCCTGACATCAAGAAGCCATCATCTAAAGCCTGTTTCCAGGTATGCACAACACACAAACGTCAGAAGCATCTCATAGGTTGGTGTTTCCAAGAGTAACAAGATAGATACTCCCCCAAATCATCCAGGCTGGCAGCATGCCCTTATTTTCAAGTGCAATAATTTTGGAAAATATTTTTGAAAACTGTAAAAAGCTAAATTAATATTAATTATTACTGCCCCCCATGATCTTGTGAATTCCTCAGAAGCAGGGACAGAGACATATTCATCTTCTTTTCTCTTTTTATATGGTCTGGCATATAAATGTTGAGTAGATGCTTCAAAATAACAAATGAAGAGTATATCTGTAACTTCTTTTAATTATTTCTTATGGCATTACCACTTAGGGTTTATCCAAATGCTTGGCCTGCACATATTTGCAGGCCATTTTGGGGGTTAACATCTTAGGTGTGCTTACTGGAAGAATAGACCCTTGGGAAATTATACTGGTACTTTTTTCTTTTTTCATCCATTCAACACATATTTATTGCATGTTTCTCTGTCCCCATCACACAGAAATGTACTGGCCAAGACAGATAAAGTTATTATCTGTGGAGCTTATATATTTCTAGGGAGGGAGGCAGGTAGCAGGAGGTGGGGATTGAGAGCTGTGCCATGAACAGCCATCAAGTCAGATGAACAAGATAAGTTTATATAGTGGTAAACATGAAGAAGAAATGAGAGCAAGATGCTATGTGATGGTGACAGGTGTGGGGGAGTAATGAAGGAGTTTTGATCGAATGGTAAGGAAGGGCCTCTCCAAGGAGGTGATATTTCTCTTTAAAGAAATCTGAGAAATCTTTTAGAACAGGCTTTGCAAGAATGGCTTTTCCTAAAACGTTTTGTGTTTTCCAGTTGAATGTATAAAACTGCCAATTAGTTTCACTATGAGGCCAAATAAATGGGCAGGTAAAGGTTATCCTCTTTATCTGTGGGAACAGATGCTCCCAGGTACTAGGAAGCAAACAAAACCTGTTTTGTTCAAGCTCTGTTTTTATCCACTTTTATAAGCACACAAAAATTATAGCAGGACTTTGGGAGGCTGAGGCGGGTGGATCACGAGGTCAAGAGATTGAGACCATCCTGGCCAACATGGTGAAACCCCGTCTCTACTAAAAAAATACAAAAATTAGCTGGGCTTGGGGGCGCAAGCCTGTAGTCCCAGCTACTTGGGAGGCTGAGGCAGAAGAATTGCTTGAACCCGGGAGGCGGAGGTTGCAGTGAGCCAAGATTGCTCCACTGCACTCCAGCCTGTCACCTGGCAACAGAGCAAAACTCTGTCTCAAAAAAAAATAATAATAATAATAATATAGCAGGAGACTTAAATTACTTGTGATAGTAGTCTGTCTGCCTGCCTGCTTCTCTTCCTTCCTCCCTCTCTCTATACATCTATCCACCCGTCCATCCATCTCTTTCTTCCTCTTTGACAGAAGCAATTCTGGGAGAAACTAACCTAGCAAATAAATTTCCATTTTACATTTAAGTACGCACACACACACAATATAAAAGCCGTAAGGCACAAATGGACTTAACATTTCTATAGCAGCAAAACCAGTTTAAAGCTTTCTGAGATTTTAGAGCTCTGTACAAGGTCTAGTCCCAGAATAAAGCATTTTGGCATAAATGGAAGGTTGCTTCAGCTACTTTGCAGTCTGCTTTTAAGACACAAGGAATGGAATGCAGGGTGGAAGTTTCAGAGCCTGTGTTCAGGCTGCTTGAGACAGGGCTGCTCAGAGGGCTACCAGTAACATCTGTGGGTGATCAGGCAGGCCCAAGATTCAGGCAGAAATCTTTATTCCTAAATAAAGAGATGAAAGAGTAGAGGATAAATGGCGAGCAAGAGAAAAAAAACCAAAAATGCCCATGATGAGATATGCCAAAACAGTAACCTTGAAAAATCTTCTGGGCATCCAGGCCAAAGGTGGTCAACCTCAGAAGCAACATGCTGAGAAGCAGTCTACGCAGAGTAAGCACTTCAAAAGATCAGCTAAATTAAAAAATACATTACTACATTAATGAGAGACTAGAGATTCATTTGGTTTTTAATATTTCAACCAAGTAAATTCTTTGCTGGTTATTTTAAACTTCAGATTGTCATGCTGTTCATGTTGATAAACATTTTATTGTGTCTGCCATGTTTTCTCATCATTTCTATAGATTTCTCAGATTATATTTTCTCATGATAGTTCATACATTACTTTTAATTATTTTACAATGTTCCTGCATTACTTTTATAATCATAAATTTAAAAAATCCTCCCTGATGTATTTGCATTAGAGAAGGAGCCATGTCTATCACATTTAAAATTGTACTCCCAGGCTTTTACAGTGCCTGATACAGAGTGTATATTTATTAATGAATGAATTCACTGGGGTGGGGAAATTTCTGGAAACCTCATAAGTTTCCAGAAATTTATGAAGTCAAATAAAAATGGAAAATGCATCACGAAAGACAGAAGAAATTCCTAGCCAATTTACAGAGCTTTGGAAAAAGAAAATTATTTGGGATAAGTTATAATAAAACTCCATTCTAACTGACTAATAAAAATTAAGATAGATTTTGCTCGTATTTTGAAGGGTTCTCACGTTTGTTTTTTTTCTACCCCATAGCTCCACCTGGAGAAGATTGTTCATCAGTCACAGACCTGCCCAATGCCTTTGATGGACCAATTACCATAAGTACGTATCTCTTCTAATCTTGATTAAATTTTCCTGTTTTGGGGAAAGGGTTCAGGTGTGTTCTCTATGGTACTATTTGAATAGAATATTAGGTCGGGCGCAGTGGCTCACACTTGTAAACCCAGCACTTTGGGAGGCCAAGGTAGGTGGACCACTTGAGGTCAGGAGATGAGCCTGACCAACATGGTTAAACCCCATCTCTACTGAGAATATAAAAAAATTAGCCAGGCATAGTGATGGACACCTGTAATCTCAGCTATTCAGGAAGCTGAGGCAGGAGAATTGCTTGAACCCGGAGGTGGAGATTGCAATGAGCTGAGATCGTGCCACTGCCCTCCAGCCTGGGCAACAGAGTGAGACTCCATTTCCAAAGAAATATATATGTATATAGAATAGTAGTCATTTCCCTAAGGCTAAGGACACTTTAATTCACTGTCCTTAGCTTTAATTCACTGTCTTTAATTCACTGTCTTTAATTCACTGTCTCTTCCCTTTTTTCTGCCAAGACTTGAAGCTGCTTTCTGGTTTACATTCATGCATTGTTCCTCAAACTTCAGTCATTTGAAAATCACTTTCACTTTTTTTTGGCATCTCTGTGTACACTGCTATCATTTACTTGGTATTTTTTATTTAATTAGCCCATTGTTTTCTACTTAATATACATTCATTTTTAAAAAGAAATCGCACATGGAAAACCAAGATCACATCATAAATAGAAGGCAACATTAATAATACATTTAAATGTAAGAAAAATTAAATAATATTCTTAATTTGTGGCCGCAGAAAGCTCTGGGTCTGAGTCATGTTCTCTCTTATAAAGGGGGATTAATAACTGTCAGGTGTAGGGGCAATCTGGCCCCAAATAGCAATTTTCTGTTTGATATAACTGAAGTATTGAAAGAAAATCATGAAGGATATAAACTTCCTGATATGTGTTTTGACATCATTTATACCACATCCATCTGAAATCATCCTGGTATTTGATTATCCACAGGTGTGTATATTCTGGTACTTTTTAAAAATAGAGATAAGGGTCTCACTATGTGGCTTGGGCTGGTCTTTAACTCCTGGGCTCCCAAAGTGCCAGGATTACAGACATGAGCCACCATGCCTGGCCAATTCCAGCACTTTAGATATCAGGAAATCTCACTCAGAGCTTTCAAATAGGCTAACCTGCTAACCCTGATGTTACTGTCTTTGAGAGTCATTAATTGGGAAGCTGCACAGTATCGAGGTCTGATTTCTGCTTCCTCACAGCTAGACACTGACAGTGTGCATGGGCATGATGTTGGCAGCGATAGAGGGACAAGAATCTCCATAGGCCACACAAACCCAGCCCCACACTGCTAGGTAAGAAATTGTCCCTGGCCTGTGCCTTGCAGTAGGAAGGGGATGCCTCACGCCATGACGGTTATGACAGGAGGTGTGCTGTCTCAGTCAGGCCTGGTTTGAAATCCTAGTTCCTCACCATGTGTGAGATTTTAGAGGAATGACGTATTTTTTCTGATCCTCAGTTTTTGTGTATGTGTAATGGAATAACTTATGAGAATTTTCACGAAATTTGTAAAAGACAGTATGTCTAATGTACGCCCAGCCCATAGTAGACATTTAATAAATGCCCTGTTTCTTTGATGCTCACAGTTCTCTTTTGAAGTCTAGACCTGTAAGAGTCTGGTCAACAATATTTCCTTGTCAAATCCTCATCTTCAGAGATTACCAGGATGATTGAGACCTTAATTCTTTTTCATTTATATATTATTAATAGTTCCACTTGAGGCTTGGCACAGCAGCTCACTACTGTACTCCTAGCACTTTGGGAGACTGAAGCAGGCAGATCACCTGAAGTCAGGAGTTTGACACCAGCCTGGCCAACAGAATAAAACCCCATCTAGCCAGGCATGGTGTCATGCACCTGTAGTCCCAGCTACTTGGGAGGCTGAGGCAGGGGAATTGCTTGAACCCGGGAGGCAGAGGGTGCAGCACGTTGAGATTGCACCACTGCACCCAAGCCTGGGCAACAGAGTGAGAGTCCATCTCAAAAAAATAAATAAATAAATAAGTCCCATTGAGCAAGCTAAATAGGTAGACAAAAAGAACCTTTAGTCCCATTAATGCAATGCAGCAGTAAATAATTTTATCTGAATGCACACTTGCATAGTGAGTGGCCCAGACTTCAGAGCAGCAAATACTTTTAGGGAGGAATAATGAATGAATGTATTCAGGCTTTTTCTCCTCCGGTTCATTCTAGTCATTTCCTTGTTGAAACCACAGACGTTGATCTTCATGTATATCTGCGCTTGTTAATTTCCAGGTTGAATTTCACAGAGGTCTGCAAAGGCTCTATCTCTATTTAGACCTGCTGATTTCCTAGCCAGAAGTGGGTGTTTGCACAAGCAGACAAAATTTGCCCAAGCAGACAAGATTTTCGTCTTAAAACAGAAAATCTAAATCGTCATCAATTTGCAAATGTATCTTCCCTGCTGAGGCTATTAGTCTGCTACTTCAAACCTCTTTTGGAGGAATAGATGAAATAAATAGCAACACATTTTATACGTACTTCAGAAGGCAGAGTAGGGAACCAAGTGGGAGAATGATTATTTATTGGGCATCCACTGTGTTTTGAATACTGTCCTGAGCACTTTGCTTACAATGCATCACATAATCCCCATTTTACAATGAGAAAACAGAAGCTCAGAGTTGTCTAGAGCTCTATGAAGCTGGGATTCAAACATGGGGATGGGACTCTCCAGTACTTCTTTATTTCTTGCCTCATCCCCAGGGTGTGTGGGGGATGGGAGGGTGCACTTAGCGCATCAGCCACTCTCTTCCACCACTGGATAGATAGGTGTTTTTCATTACAAAAGAAAATAGCTTTGAAATCGCTACATTAAATGCTAATCCACATACTCAAAATATGAGCTGTGAAGTTCTGTAAGTACCTTTTCTCTCTCCCAGCTATTGTTAACCGCGACGGCACCCGCTATGTCAAGAAAGGAGAATACAGAACGAATCCTGAGGACATCAACCCCAGCAGCCCTACTGACGACGACGTGAGCAGCGGATCCTCCAGTGAAAGGAGCAGCACTTCAGGAGGTTACGTCTTTTATAACCACTTTTCAACTTCACCACCCATCCCAGATGAGGACGGCACCCGGATCACCGACAGCACAGACAGAACCCCTGCTACCAGTAAGGAGAATAAATCACTGTGCTTCCCAATAGCATTTCCTTGGCAAAATGCCTCTGACCTTCCTGAGTATTGCCCACTCACATGCTGATTTTCTCATCTCTAGACAGCTGCAGGTTGGTGACACCATTAGGGGAGGTGGACTCTTGTGGTTGCCAGTGCATTGCATGCATTGACTACTGCTGTTTACCTTTTTTTTTTTCCCCTCATCTGTAACTGTTTTTCTTACCTTGGCCTAAGAAGTGCCGTATTGGAAGTCTTATTTTGGGGAGAGCCCTCCTTATTCTCTTATCCCTAGGGATACAGTGACAATTCAAGCCTGATATGAAAACTATTTTCATTTTTGCATGTTTCCTTCTTGTTCTTATCCACCTATGGATAAGATTGTTTTCATAAAGTTGGGACCATAGAGTTTGCATACTACTCCACTAGCACTTTTTTCAAAACCCATTTATGCCTGAGGTTGTAATTTTTTGAATTTTTGCGATCAGACCTTGGTGATGACCTGGGCAGTAGGCTATAAATAACTCTCACATGCTTCGTGTTCCAATAGTGGAAGAGTAGGCATAAATGGGTCAACTGTGTTATGTTTTAATCTGATTTATACACATATTTTTGATAGTGTAATATTCAGGGATTTTTATCAACCATGATTTACTAACAGTTCCTTCATTTTTGGTCCAAGGAAGCATATCTGGAGGAGCTTTCTGATCAAATTAAATAAACTTGAGAGTTCTGTATTCCAGCCTGTTGGGGAAGGATCTCAATACTTACTTGGCATGTAGGGGTAATTCATTACTTAGGACTGCAAGAGTGGAAGTATGTAAACACTACATTTGATTCCTTTGGCGTTTGCCCCTCGTGCATCAGCTCCACTGGAAAGTGTTTATATTTCTCTTGCCTCTTCTGTTTCCCTCTTGGCTTTTCTTCTATGGTTTGTTTGGAAATGGGCTTCCAGATGGGCCATGTTCCTCCAGTGGAGGATTAATCAAACTCAAATAGGGCATCTGCGTCTGGAGCAGTTTTCCTAGTATGGTGTGGATTTTCTCTTTTCCTGGCTACGGCTCCTGAAGGGTGGAACTTGAGCCTTCAAAGAGTGTGGCAGAAATGTGCTGGCTTGTGAATACTCAAGACAGGGCCCTTCCTATTCCTCATCACCCAGAAGCCAAGGAAACCTCCCCAGCACTGTGATTTCATTTAAGGTTACTTGCTCAATAGCGTTTTAAATTTCTGTCAGTCGCTGACTGAGGGCATCAGACAAATAGGTTTGGGGTTCCCATCACTCCCTGCAAATTCTTTGAATCCTTTCAAAAAGCAGTTTTTTCAAGCTGCCCATGCTTTTTTTAATTATTGACACTCTTGAGGTCGCATCAGCCATTGTTGGTAGTCCCAAGGGCAACTCTTCTTGAGAGAGGCTTCTGCAAACCAGGCAGGTAGTGCTGCTAGCCAGTCACTGCTTCTTGGGTTCCCAGTCTGTTTAAAGTAACCATGTCGAAGGTGCTTATCATGAGGGCATGCAATTTTGTCAGATGTTGGCAAACACAATAATTAGTGGTCTCAGCAGGAAGCAGAATAGGTCTACCCTAAAGTATCACTTCCCACCAAAGAAGAAAATCCTGACAAAACATAACTTGTGGGGACTAGACGAAGTTAACATTCAAGCCACTAATAGCCTATATAAAATAGTATTTCATGTGTATTTTTAAAAAGGCAATTAGCACATTTTCTTAACCCCTATGGAATATCTCTTAAGAATGGTATCTTCCCTTCCTAAGTTAGTCAGCAAATGTATTTTGAGAACCTACTATGTACCAGGCCTATTAGAATCTTGGGATCTAAGGATAAACGTGGTTAGGAAGTAATATTGAAAAGAAGCAAGGGTTACTGAGATGTTTATTCATTCAATTAATATTTGAGGTCTTCTGTATGCCAGACACTGCTCTAGGATTTCATGGACTTAACTTCATGGAGACTACATACCATTAATTTAGAAATTGAGGGAAAGCAGTGCTATAAGACGTGGTTTAGGATGTGGGCTGAGAAATGAATTGTGCCTTTTTCCTCCCAGATAAATTGGTTAAGTTTCTTTCAGCAGCTAAAAAAGAGAGAGAGTAATGAGACTACCAGATGAGTCCAGGGCTAACCTGAAAGTCTTTGAAGTACTATAGGACTCAATGGGACCAGTAGCAGCTCCAAGTGGATCACTTTCTGCAAAGTAAGATACCAAAGCAAACAACCTGGTAGAAAACTGAGCATAATAACGGCATGCCAGGAAAAGTCAGCACTGATAGGTTCCTGAATAGAATCATATTTTCAAAGTCTAGTGAGAAGATTTGCAAAACCTCATCACTGTTGCACTGAGAACTGGGACAGAGTGAGAGGGAGTAATTGCAAAACCTCCCTCATGCATTGCAGGAGGGCAGGGGTCAAGAGGAGAACTGGCTGAGAGCATAGAAGACGCTTGTCTTTGGCTCTGCTGGCTCATTCCTTTGGGAAGGGCCTGTAGTGGGTGGCAATAGGGACAGCTAGTAAGAACAACCATCTGGGTAGCTTTAGGCTTCCAGAAGGCTGTTTATCTTGAGTGTCATCAGCCTCTTCCTATTGGTGATCTGGAACTCTTGAGATCAAGAAACCTAAACCAATTCAGGAAGCAGACTCCTGCCTTGGAACACTGTATTTCCTTGTCTTCTGGGTGTCAAAGGAATAACTTCTTTCTCTCTCTCTCTTTTTTTTTTTTTTTTTCAAATCTGGTGTGGTCTATTTGGGTGGGGAAAATTAGAAATTCTGCTGGCTAGGCAGTAGCTTTTTCTGTTTTTCCCTCGTATCACTCCTTTCAGGAAGACAAAAATAATGCCGATTTCTATCTTGTTCTTGTAGGTTTGTTTCCTCTGGTACTATTTTTTTTCCTGGTGTACTATCGGGTGAGGGTGGTGGGAACTACATCTTTAATAAAGTTTTTGAGGTGAGAACGTGGTGTCTGCGGATTTTCCAAGGGATCCTCAGGTTTATCTGACGGCTTCATGGGTAAAATTGGCTCCTATTTCTCTACTCTCTGTTCTGACTTAATGTGTCCTTTACAGCAAGGATGTCTAATCTTTTGGCTTCCACTGGAAGAATAATTGGGCCACACTGGAAGAATAATTGTCCTGGGCCACACATAAAATGCACCAACACTAACCAGAGATGAGATAACAACAACAACAAAAAAAGCAAAAAAAAAAAAACCTCATACTGTTTTAAGAAAGTTTATGAATTTTTGTTGGGCCACATTCAAAGCCATCTTGGACCACATGTGGTTCACAGGCTGTGGGTTAGACAAGCTTAATTTAGAGGACAGAATATATTGTGCCAGCTCTTGGCATTTGATATTGATAGAGTCAGAGTTTTTAACCTAGGATTCATGGATTCAATGATAGGCCATAAGGCATTCTCAAACCGTTTGAAATAATATGCAAAATTTTGAATGTGTACATGTGCAAGGTCGCTTTTTTCAGAAGGGAGGTCACAACATAGATTTTCAAAGGGATACATAATTTAAAGTGGTTTTTTAAAATCTCAACTGGCTTAAATTAGATATTTATCCTGATGGTTTTTGCCATTCCACTTCAATAAGGAAACATCCTGAACTCAAGTCAAACTTGAGAGTCAAATAAGAGACTTTATATTGCAAAAATGTTACTGATGATATTTTCTCTAATTTGAGAAACGAACTTTGGCAACTCTGGTTTTTTGGTAGAAACCCATACCAAATTGGAATAAAAATGACAGAAGTGATGGATAAAAATGACAGAAGTGATGGATGCTTGAGGAAACTTTATCTGATTTTGACACTTTGAACACGTTTTCTTTGCCAAGTTCCTGCTCAAGCATGAAGTTTGACTTGAGGCCGATGTGTGTGGGTGGAGCTTTGAAATGCCAGTTGCCATCACAAGCTACCTGGGTACAATGCTAGGCAGATGTGAAAAAGACACATTAGCAACCCAAAGGTAATCAAAAGATAAATGAATGAAAGCAACTGCTTGAAATTCTGCTTCAAAAACCTCCAGTTCATGGCTCAGTCGCCCAATCAAGTAAACTGAAAATCTCTTTCCTTCACAGGTTATTAAGTTGCTGCTTGATTTTGCTTTCATCATGAATTCAGGGAGTTCCATTTGAAGAATGAATAGCATGAAATTGATACTCATGTGGAATTTGCATTTCTGATGTTGTCCTAAGATTGCGGGAGACATTAGGAGTCTGGAAAGATAAAACCAGGCCTAGGTTTTTCTTTTCCAATTATTCAGTGATAGATACAGACATCACATGTAGACAGAACTGAAAGTAAAGATTCATAGAGGTCACTAAATGATATTTTCATAATTGATCCAGTTACTTGAACTGTGCACTCAAACAGCCACACAGCAGCTCAGGAGAAAAATAACGGGCTATGGTTCTGGTTTGGTAATTCACAGCCTAACAGTCAGGATCTCATAACAACATCAACGACAGGTAAACTGCTTCGTCTTTTGCTTATCAGCTCTCCTGAATATCAGATCTTTTAGTGTTAGGGGAGAGGACATCCATTATCATGCCAAAGCTTCTTCGCCATTCTTAGTGAAAATAGGGTCTGGTACCACTTTATTTGTCAGAAAGGCTTGTGGATCTGGGGATGATTGATATTTGTAAATGTCCTGTTTGTTTTCCTCTTGGCAACATGTATGTAGGATCAGAATGATTTTTCCATCAGAGGAATGAAAAACTATGAATTAATAGTTTTGAATGAATGAATGAATGAAATTATGGAAAACTACAAATGAATGAATTGACTTTGTGATTCACCGAGAAAATGTCCTTTAGAAAGAAGTCTGTCTGAAAATGCAGTTTCCTCCTTCCTGCTGATCTGATTCTTACAACCAATAATAAGAGAAGGAAATGCAGATTTCTCTGATCAAAGTGTAGGCCCTGAACCCATCTTTGGACACTTAAAATCTCAACAGTAAAATGTAGGAAATGACCTGTTTCTCCATATCAGAATCTAGGCCTCTAATAAGCTCCCTGGGTGTGTGGCTCTTAGTTCTGTATCCCTGCAAAGTGTATCTATAAAGGAGCTTTGGGAAAACTGATTCAAAGTCTGTAAAAATGGGAGATTACAAACACCTTCATTTATTAACTTTTATTGATGGAGGTAATGGCCATATTCCAAAATAACTAGACATTCTTTCTGCAGAGGGAAGTAATAAACGTGGAAAGATGATTCTTTACATTTGTTTGGCTTATGTGACACTGGATAAATTATATTCTTTACTTCTATAAATAATCATGAGAAAAATAGTGCTCATGTTACCTTATGGTTGCCATATCACAATTCTAAGATCATGCAGAGGTGGGTATGGGGGATAGTGAGATTGCAGAATAAAGAAAATGCTGTTTGTAAATGTTGACAATGTTTATCTTCATAGGACAAATGATGTAAAGGAACAGGTCTTCTTGGCAGTGTTTCATCTTGGGTTATTTTTGCTTTTGGGCTTTCTTGATAGCTGAAAAAAAAATCTAAATCACCTTACTTTTGTGTTTAGGGATGATGGTTTCAGCCTCTCTGCTTCAACTTGTTCTCAGCTTTTTGTCTGCTGTTAGCTCATATGCTTCTGATGTACATTTTTGTGCATTAGAAATGGCAGTGTCTGGAAATTTTTAAATCATTACTCTTGCTTCTGGTCTTATTAGCGAGATCATTTGGGTCACTTCATCTCTGTCTTTCCTGATTGATTATTCTATTTTCGAAGAATGGGTCTCAAAATGTCCTGTTCTGCTTTGCAAAATATAGTTTGATACAAGAAATTACCGTGGGCAAGGTTGTTAGAGGGATTTGGAATCTAAATGAAGAAAAGTGGAAAGGTATCTTTTTTAGTCTTCTAATTCTATGTCACTTTCCCTGTGCGTTGGATTGTTAGGCTTATGTGTCTACTGCTGGCAGAAATACCATATCCTAATTTCTTAGAGAATGATATTGTTTGCCCAAGATTGTATAGAAGATTAAGGAGCTCGGATTCTGAAGAGCTGAGTTTTATGATCATAAACTCTCAGATTTAGAAAGGATGTTAAATGGTCTGGTTCAATCAACACTTCTAATAATTTAATCTCTTACACAACTTTCCTGCCAACTGATCTTCCTGATGATGGGAAACATAATACTTTATGAAGAAGTTCATTGTTGAATCGTTCAGATTATTGCTTTTTTAAATCCAACATTTGGAAGAAGATTCATCTCCCTGAAATTTTCACTACAGGTCCTAATTTGGCCTCATGGGTCCAGAGACAAAAGTTAAATCTCTCTTTTATATTATACAGACTTTCAAAATTCAAAGACAGCTCTCATGCGTTCCTGGAGCCCTCGCTCTTGCTAATTAGCCATCTGACTTCAGGCAAGTCAGAAGCTCTGTCCAGCACAATTTTTTTTTTTTTTTTTTTTTTTTTTTTTTTTTTTTTTTGAGATGGAGTTTCGCTCTTGTTGCCCAGGCTGGAGTGCAATGGCGCGATCTCGGCTCACCGCAACCTCCGCCTCCTGGGTTCAGGCAATTCTCCTGCCTCAGCCTCCTGAGTAGCTGGGATTACAGGCACACGCCACCATGCCCAGCTAATTTTTTGTATTTTTAGTAGAGACGGGGTTTCACCATGTTGACCAGGATGGTCTCGATCTCTTGACCTCGTGATCCACCCGTCTCGGCCTCCCAAAGTGCTGGGATTACAGGCTTGAGCCACCGCGCCCGGCCTCACAATTTTTAAATCTTTAAGACAAGGAGCATGAACCAGATGATATTTAAGATCCTTCCTTCTCTGACATTCTATGGACTCCAGCTTGGGCCTCTGAAAAAAAATGGAACTTTTTTGCTTTTTCCCTTTCTTTTCACTATCTGTTTCAAATATAGATGACTCTCTTGAGTCGTAAAAGAGTACAAGCATATTCAATGCTATTTCTTAGGAACTTTTAATTAACCTTTCAACAATCAATTCAATTGTGATGGCAACAGCTTTGATGAACACTAGTGCCACAGCAACTGAGACAGCAACCAAGAGGCAAGAAATCCAGGATTGGTTTTCATGATGGTTTCCACCATCACAGTCCAAGAATCATCTTCACACAACAACACAAATGGCTAGTAATGAGTTATGATTATCTCATAGCATATGTTTTCCTAACAGCCTTGAATAATTTTTATTGACCAATGGGATGTTGTTAAAGCCTAAAGTCCCTTCTATTCTCATAAATGTTTGTTACAACTTTAGAAGGATCGTGAACTCTGGTATCGGTTTGCTTGTATAGCACTAATAGGATTTCTTCTTTCTAATCTGTGGATTAGTATAGCCCAGGAGATGGCTAATACAGAGACTATGAAAAGGGGACAAGTTTTTTTAAAATGATATAGCAAAATTGTGACTCTGAAAGATTATTCATGGATATTCTAAAATTACCACAGTCATAAAAAGTCTTTTGATTTTCATAAGGAAATAGCACAGCTAGATCCGAAAAAATATAAAAAATTCTTCATCAGTGGAACTATTCTTGGGGTAGACACTAATTGCATGAAAAGACAAATGCTCCTTCCCTAAGATAGCCTGAATCTCATTCAAAATGTAGAAAACCCCTTTTTAGTAAGGAGACATCTACAGTAACCACTGAGAAGTAGACATTTTTCATCTCCTTTTTTATTCAAAAAGAAAAAGTAAAAATTTCTCAAAATCTCAACTACAGTTCACTCTAGTTAACTCTCTTAGTGGCCTAATAATGTTAATTGGTTTCACGGTTTTGCTCTATGCTGAAGTATTCTTGGGAACTGCAGTGTAGCTTCTATCTGTGTTTGCGGCTACACTGATCTGCTGCTAGAGAAGATAAAAAATGAATTAGCAAATTGTGAACACAATGAAATGATTGACACAGGTGTAGATTCTAACATTTTTCTGAAGGTGTCTTGACAAAAAAGGCACATGTGAAACCTTTCCATTCTGTCCTTGATGACTTGGCTTTAATGGCATATGCTTAATGAGTTTGTAATAAATGCATCTGAAAGCGTGAGTGTCGGGGGGGGGGTTCACTGGCCTTTAAAAACTTATTTGGAGAGATTATGTCCACACATAATGTTCTTTTAGCTTTCTTAAAGAGAATATTCAGTTTTAAAGATCATAGCCAATTGTTTTGAGATTTATGTATCAGCTTTAGAGACCAGAACATAAGAATTTGGGGTATGCAAATCAACTCCCGCATTTTCATTATAAAATTCTGGTAAATCCATTATACCTTCTGTGCCTGATTTTCTTCCTTTGCAAGTGGGTTGCTTGGCATCCAGCTCAGCCACTAACGCAAGTCACCACAACAGGTACGTCTTCAAATACCATCTCAGCAGGCTGGGAGCCAAATGAAGAAAATGAAGATGAAAGAGACAGACACTTCAGTTTTTCTGGATCAGGCATTGATGATGATGAAGATTTTCTCGCCAGTACCAGTAAGGATAATCAATTACAGTATAGCCATTTATGCAAGGCTTATTGTTTAATCTGAGTGATACCTAATTGTATCTCTCTTGAAAAGCAGTTAATGTGAAAAATGAGTGAACCTATGATCATACGTTAGTTATATCTTGATGAGATTATGGAGGAAGAAATAGAATGTTTTGAGGAGAAGTGGGGAAAACATCTCACAAAATTTCTAATGTTTCATGTTCTTCCTTTTTTATTTATCTATGAGATCTGCTACTACAGATATCTTTGAATGATCAGGCTTTGACGGAGAATGACATATTAAAACAGTACAACAAATATTCATTGTGTACTTACTGGTGCTAGGTGCTAGAAACACAAAGAAGAAAAAAGCCAGATCCTTTGCCTTTCAGAAGCTCATGGTCTGTTGGAGCAATAGGCTAGGAGAATGTGATTAGAAGGGTATTAATTAAAAGTTGTAGAAGATCCTAAGTTGAAGGCCCTTAAGGCTTAAATGATGGGAGCTAGAACTCAAGAATTATTTTAGTTAATCAAAACGTGGCTGAGGTCAAAGGAACAAATCCAGAGTTTTAACAAATGAGCTGGACACCAATATAATAGAAAGACCTCAAAGGGAAGGGCAAATGTCAGGTTAGCTTTCACAAGACATTGCCACTTATTAAAAGCAAATAGTGAAACCACTATTGGTATATAATAGTATCCAAATTTTTGACAATTATAAAATGTTTTTAGAACAAAGAGATGGAAATTGAGCTCTAAAGATGTCCTTAAAAAGTTAAACACATGCAAAGGTTGTCCTAATATTCTGCTGGATTACTGAGTTTTCCCCACATACCTGTAATGACTTAAGATTTTGCTGAACAGAGCTAAGAATCCTGAACCTGACCCCATCACAGTTCTGCTTTTCCTTAGAAAAAAGACTTTTGGGGGGCTACATGAGCTTTACCAACTCACTGAAGTTCTATCCATTTCATTAAAACCTGAGAATTTCATCCTCACATGGACAGCATCCAGAGACGAAAGGGTCCAGGAAAAAAATAGCTTAGGCCTTGAAGGCATCTGAGTATGTACATTGACATAACAAATACTCAAAAGGAACTAGAATTTTCTGTCTAAATTTTTAAGTGATTTTTTTTAGACCTGACACCCCTCCAGAACTTAATCTATGGAATAAGAAAATTCTTCTTGGTAATTTCAGAATGAAACCAAATAATTGAAAACACTGGAGCTTTACATTACACTGTCTCCTGTGTTCAGGATGTGGCCCCGCTTTGCAGGTGGGCCTATTAGTAAAGACGTGGTCTTGATACTGGAGAAATTAAATTCCCTTGGGTGGTAACCCAAAGAGATCTATATGCAAATGAGTTGTATGTCAGGCTTCAGGGAAAAACTTCCCATGGTACTTTTTTTTAATTTTTATTTTTTTAATCTCTATGGCATGTTTTCCAATTTCAGTTTACTTCTCTGCTGAGCACCTATGGACATAATTCAACACGATGCCCTCTTTCTCTTGGAGGGGTGTGATAACTGCTTGATAATATGTACTTTTTCATGCTTATTGAGAATGTGGTTAATGATTCTAAACTTGATTTTCTTAACTTGTAAAACAGAGCTGATGGTATTATAGTTCTGAAAACAGTTTTGTGTTATTTGGGTGTCAGAATAAAGTTTAAAACAATTAGGATGGATTTGCAAACAACTTTTTCACAAAAGACATTGATTCAGATTTTGTTGTGATCCTTATGCTAGGTGCATTTCCTATTCCAGCTCTAACATCTTGGGTGACAACATTGGGGTGCTGGTGGATGTATGCCACTTTCTTTCTAGTGTGTTGCTATAATGGTGGCTGGTTACCTGTGGTGTCTTATTTTCTTTCATTGGCTATGAATGGCTTGCTCTTGACATATTTTGTATTTGATGAAAATATCATAGGTGTTTCATAAATATTCAGAAATAAACCATATGGCTATTCCAGGTAGATATTCTCTCTCAGAATCAACTATAGGAAAGCTCTGGCTGCTCAGGCATTTCTTTTGCCACCAAAATTACAAATAACATAAAGGGATAATCACAGTATAACTTTCAGTTATCTACCTCTTCACCCTGAGGATCTACAAAGAGTACACAGTGATTAAGTCCCTGAGCTTTCAAGTTCAGAGGGATACTACAGACTGCATGGATGGGCAAAATGGCACCTTTGGCTATCCTCGGTGGAGGGCTCGTGTTTTCAAAGCTGTCCTTCCTACTGCTGCAGCCTCTTTGTCTGCTTTATCTGGAAGATCTCATGTTCTGAACCCCAAGTATTCTGTGACAGAATGCAAATGACACTGAGATGCTTACCAATATGGCTGAATTACGCTGAAGGTACTCTTCGCTTTTCCTCCACTTCCATGGAGCCATCTATACAACCAGGTATAGATGATTCATTGCATAGTCTACAGAAGCAAGGTTATGTGCAAGGCAAGTGGTGAAGGCTCAAGGAATAACATTTTTCTAATTGCTTCAATCACATTATCACAGTTTCAACCACACCACGGGTTTTTGACCACACAAAACAGAACCAGGATTGGACCCAGTGGAACCCAAGCCATTCAAATCCAGAAGTGCCACTTCAGACAACCACAAGGATGACTGGTAATGGGTTATGCTATTTAATGAAGGATTATTTTTCCCCCTCAAAGCCTGTAATGCTGCAAATGTCAATCATCGAGACACAGTGGGAAATTTAGTTAATATCTCTTCAAGAAACTCTTAGCGGACTTTCATGAGGATACTCAGTTCCATTTAGGAGTCATTTATCAATTATACCATGTGGGCATAGGATATTTCATGTTACTTCATTATAAAAATGAATATGTTTAAATGGTTTACGGTGCTGCCTTTGACAAACTGATCATAGTGGATTAATAAGTAAACACAAAGAAATTCCAAGCCCATTGATTTTCTCTTGAGACAGATTAGGTTGTCACTGAAAATTTTTTGAGAGTGGTTGCTCAGAGGTACTACTTTGGCATAGAATTGTTAAATAGCATGCACTTTAATGGAAGAACAGAATCATTAAAGGTTGGTTGATAACAAGTCACAGTGTATTTAACCATCATCACAGCAGATGTAGACAGAAATGGCACCACTGCTCATGAAGGAAAATGGAACCAGGAAGCACACACTCTCCTCATTCACTATGAGCATCACGAGGAAGAAGAGATCCTACATTCAACAAGCACAAGTAAGCAAGATGACGATCGGCAGTTCTGGGTTAGACGAGTTAGTGAAGACGTTGCAGAGATAGGGAAGATTTTGTTTAGACATTGGGCACATCTTGTTTTCATTCAGTAACTTCTTTTATTCTCAGAGGCTGAAAAGCTGCCAAATCTGCACACGAATTTTAGAAATCGGAAGGAAAATGATAACTCACCAGGTTGCCCAAAGGCCAACATTGTTTAAAAAGTAGATCTAGATACAATTTTTGTGTTAAAGGTTCCTTGGGTGACTTGTGTGTGTTTTTGGAAATGTGTGGTGAAGAACGTGTTCTTTGGTGCTTAGCAGTGGAATCTGGAAAGAAAGTTTGTCAAGTGAATTGATCTTTGGAATCCTTGTTTTCTGTGAAGATCTTTTATGAATACAATTTCTTTTTTTTGTATTTCGTCCCTGACTGTTCTATAGAAAGACATCCTTTGCACTCTTTAGAGCAAAATTGGTAGCTCATATGGTCTACATTTGAATTCTACAACTGCATCTTTTTCTGTTTTTAAGCCCAGAGTAACTTGAGGAAGGCTTTGATGCTCTTCCTGTTATTTCTACTATTATGAAAACTTCTCAGGTTTTCTAAAACAATCTCAAGTTGCTGCACTGGACTGTGAGGATAGGGGACCCCTTCACCCCTAAACATAAAAAGTATATGCTTTTCTTCTTTCATTTATCCCACCGAGAGATAGATGAAATATCTTATCTTATTTGGAATAAAAGAAGCATTTATTTTGAAAAACAGCTTTTTAGCATTTTTAAAATGATGGTTCAACTGTCATTCTCACACCTGAATACACTTAATAGGAAAATGTGAGCAATAGCCACTTAAAAACCAAAGGGCTTTGGGACTCTATGACTTGAGCAGTGCATTCAGACAACAAAAGAAAAGTTTCAGGTATCAGCTAGCATAGAGGTTAATAAGTCTTGGACATTGTACTGAATATATCTGGCAGGCCTTACATCCCATTTCATACCCCAGTAGACTTGATGTATGCATAAGGCTTAGGGGCTGAGTTTAAAAAGAAATCTGATAAGAAAAGGAAATACAGAGGAAGCAGAAGTCTCTTTGGAATAGGATTCTGTTCCAGTCCCTTAGAGCCCTAACAGTATATCTTAGAAACTATTTTGACAGTTTGTACTTAAAGACCGGAAAGCTACTTTAGAGACTTGGAAATAATGAGCCTGTTGTCAAAAGGTGGTGCTTGGGACATTAGTGCTAGAGGGTAGGTGAAAATTCAGACAGAATGTAACTTGACAAAGAGAAGACAGCAGCAACTGTAACAATTCTCTTATGAGTATTTGCGAGACTCAAAGGGATCTGATTGGTAATGTCTGGGCTTTAACAAATTAACATCACAACTTCTAGAAGAAAGTCAACCTTCATCTTTTAGGATAGAAATCATATGTTCTGCTAACCCATTCCTATTTAAGCTGAAAATAATAAAGGGTTATGGGTACTTAAAAAATCATTATGTTTATAAAAGTAGTCATAGAAGGAGTATAGAGTCCTTCTGTACAGTCACACACATACACTTCCTTATTTCTTTTATTTAAACTTTGAGTAACACGGCAGTCTATGTTTGGGTCAATTTTCCTTTTTTTGTAATTACATTCAGTGGTTTTTTCCAACTTCATTATTGTTGGGAATTAGTGATTTAACCAGCGGGAGGTAAAACTTAAAGATTTTGGCCTTCATTCCCCTCCCCCTGGATAACCAGTTACCCAAGAATGGCTTGGCCAATGTAAGGGTAAAATGAGGATGGTATGCTTTATTTTTTAAATGTCATTGCTGTCACCAAATTACACATATCATTTTCTAAGATAATGAAATACAGCCATTTTTACAAGTCACAAAATATACTGTGACTTGGCAAGTTTACAGGCTGTCATTTTCTTGATAAACTAAAAACAATTTGCTGTAAGTTGCGTAGACAAAAATGTTGGTGTCTGACTTTTCCTGAAGGCACCTCGATGAAATTTTATTCTGTTGACTTTGTCCTTTTTAAAACCATGGTTGAAATTGTAAGCCTGTCACATACTATAATGCCTCAGACTAGCTTGGATAGTTTTTGTCAACTGAATTAATTTTGTTAAAAAGTGATTTTAGAAATTTTGTATGCCGAGTGGACATTACTACATATTGTGTTAATGGAATAGCATCCAAGCCATCCCAACACCTTTCCTGCTGGGCAAATCCACTGCTGGTGGCTTTCCAACGTGTGTGATTATGGGTTACAGGACCACCATTTGAGAAAGTCTCCTAATGCACTGATCTTGTCATTAGTTGTTGTACAGTATTTTCCTTTCCTCAAAATGACTGAAGCAAAGAGGTTATTCTTTGAATGGTTTTCTCAGACAGGGTATGTGATGCCATATACTACAGTAAAATAAAAATAACAACTCATAGAACTATGAGAATTCAGCAACTATGGTCTACTTAGTACTATGATTTTAAACAAATCAAAACCTCTTTGGACCACAATTTTGACGTCTGAAAAATTAAACGTTTGGATTATTTGATTTCTAATATCCCCTTTAGAATATCAGTGGCCTGTTTCTTTGTTGCCTTTCTTTTCTACCTTCTATCCCCATGTGTATCTGCCCTTAAAGTAGAAAGATACGTGACAGCTATTGGCAAGGAAAATAGACAATTTTGTCTCCCAGCTGATATTCTTCTCATAGTCCAGGCAACTCCAAGTAGTACAAATGAAGAAACAGCTACCCAGAAGGAACAGTGGTTTGGCAACAGATGGCATGAGGGATATCTCCAAACGCCCAGAGAAGACTCCCATTCAACAACAGGGACAGCTGGTAATGGATGGTTTAACAAGTAAATTTGGATGACAACTTCCTTTTGGGTTAAATGGTAGACATTGAGGACATTGAACAAAAGGACACTGGAGGAATTGTCACAAGATGTTAGGTTCCTTAATAAATTATCTTGCAGTTAACACAGAGCCAAACCTTAAAGGCTCATGACAAGTCACCTGAACAGGAATAAATACAAGCCAGTTAGGAATAGGAACAGGAAACACAGAGACTATGCCCTTTAGCATGTCTCTTTCACATCGAGTTTTGGGCATCAACTAGTGAGACTGTAGCAGAGGCCCTTATAAAATACCCCCTTTTGTCATGCAAAGGAATATACTCTATAGTGTGGGTCCAGATTTACAATGTGATTTCTCACAAAGTATTTTCTTGCGATAAAGCATTTTGTCAGAACTTCAGTGTTTGAAGAAATAGAGCCATACATTATGTGAAAAATGACACCTGTCTGATGTCATTTGGCTTTTTGGTCATGCCTGTTTGGTAATTTGTTTTTTCAGTATTAAAAAGGCATCTTCTCTATTCTTGAATTGTGAAATTGGAATCAACTCTTATCATCATCTCTAAGTGATGCCAGATAACTTGGCTCTGCAAGCACCCATGCAGAATTCTTTTGTCTGTGTGACATAAGTATTGAAATGTGTCCTGCCTTATAGAGAAGGTGAATTCCATATTCTCACTTGGTATCAGTGAGGAAATAGTCCCATGTTTCTATTTGCAATATAGAAGATAATGCATCATGTCCTTCTGGGGCATGGCAAGTTCTGAATGAATTCTTGGCAGAGCAGTGGATTCTGTGACTGTCTATGTGGTGTGGTTGTTGCTAAGAGGATGCTATTGTAATCTTTTCTACCTATACTTCTTCATTGGCTCAGAATGAAGCAAGGCATATGCTGCTGTCTTACGTGTCATTTATGCCATAAGTCCCATTGTTAGAAGGTAATGCTTCTAATGGATTCCATCCATGCTTTTGAGATAAATGGCATTGACTTTCATGTTGATCACATGGAAAGCTGTTACCTGATTTCTTTCCTGAGATCACTTCCAGCCTAAGGTGCATTTGGCTGGAATATAGTTGCCTCAGAATGACATCATGCACTTGGGCTCTTATACTTCTGCTCTCAGGGGACTGTGGCAGCGTGGCATGGGTCCAGAACTACTTCTCCTTCATCTTCCTTTGATGTCTGTAACTCATCCTCTCTGCGCTGCAGGAGTTGCTAATGCTTTTGTGTCCTCCAGTTCACATGCTGATTGCTAAGAAGAAAATGAGCATGAGTGAACTAAACCTGCTGAAGCACTCTGTGTTTATGCAACTTCCTTGCCCTCTATACAAGGAAGATGGTTGCATTGTCTTGTCAAGAGAATGAAGTCTTTTTAAAAAATAAAATCAATGTACCCCTGACCAAGCGTCCATTAACACTTTGACAATTGCTTGAACTGCATGATCACAACAGCCTCAGCCCACACCAGCCATCCAATGCAAGGAACGACAACACTGAGCCTAGAGGACAGTTCCTGGACTGATTTCTTCGACCCAGTCTCACATCCCATGGGACGAGGTCATCAAGCAGGAAGAAGGATGGGTAATAGCCTCTGACATTTTTATATATTATGTTTTTTGAAATCCACTGAGTGACTGTTGACTATTTTTCTAGAAATATGCCCTTGGTTTTAGACCAGTCTACTTTCCTGAAGGACTTGAGGTTCTTCAAAAATTCGTTTTCTTGGTAGGAGTGATACACATATTTATCCGAATATGAACACTTGAGCTGAAAGTAAGGAATTTGGCAGGATAGTTGGCAAAAGAAGATACTTACTGTCAAAATATATCTGGGTGAGGCAGTAAGTAATAGATGTGAAATGAATGTTGCCAATAATGAACGCTGAAGAAATTCTGAGAACCCCTCCTCTACCTACCATAGTGTCACAGAAAGGTGAACTGGACCTGATTTATAAAAAAATTTAAAAACCTGAATAGTCAGAGAAAGGAAGCAGGTGGAGGGGCGGTGGGGGGTGGGAAGTTTTTCTAAGAAGGAGACTCATGTAAGGAGAAACATGAAGGGAGGAAAGCCAAGGAATGAATATGTCAAGTGAGTGGATCCATTTGTCACAAAGGAAGATATGTTTGAACGGCTAGGCCCAGGACACATGAGTTTGCACATGGCAGCTGGAGCTCTGAGGACACCCATGGGGGAAAACCAAGACAGGCAAAGATCTTCAGAATCAATATTAAGTCTCTGTACTGATGAAGAGAAAGAGATTCCATTAAGTTAATGAAGATGTCAAGGACGATACAATTGACTTCAACTACACAATGGTGTGGTACCTCTTGAAGGACTCTACTTATAAGAGGGAAGATGAACAAGAGTCTAGAGCCCATCATCAAGTGGGACTTTTTCTGGGAGAATGTCCATTTGTGGCTTTGATTCAGGTTAGCCCTTGCTCTTGTTTGAAATCTGGGATAGGAGAGTCACCACATTTTTGTCCTACAAAGATCTTGAATATTTTAGTGTTGAAAGGCTGCAGTGCAGACATGGGTACCCAGTATTCTGGTGCTTTGCTGGAACCGATTAGCTCTCTCCAGAGGCAGTGATGTGGATGGATTTTGACTAAATTGGAGAGCCAGCAATATTGATGGGGTTTATGAATTGTTTGGCCTCTGTGTCGCTCAAGACTTGTTATTTCAGCAGAATAGCTCTGTGATAACTATTAAAAACAACATTTGCAAGTATTTCAGTGAAATTTCTGCACTACTCAACATTGTACACGTTAAATTTTAAAGACTCCTTAAACTTGAGTTTCTTGGAAGAATAATTTGGTGACATCCACTGCTTCTTATTTCTTGCCCCTGTATACTTCCTGTAACTCCACCTAGGTGGTATTAGGTGGCAATTTTGTGTTTATTTGTACATTCACTTTGTGAAAAGAAAAAGACTAAAGGGGGAAGAGGGCCATTTTTAAAAGCCCCTTTGGTTGGTAAGAGGGAGGGGATAAAATAGTGCCTGAGTCAGTGCACTTTGACTTTTCTCCGTGTGTCAGATTGCATGTTTCTGTAAGAAAGGCAATGTTTCTGTCTCCCTGCAAGATTTGGGTGTTCCATCATGTGCTCATGTAGAGTGCTTCTAGACTCAGCAAAAGCAAACAGGAATCATAGCTTTCATATAACTCAGCCCTTCGAGGAAGGCCAGTTACTTGTTGTGGTACTCTGTAAAGAAACAATAATCTATCTCAGTTCTGGAGATATAGTCAATATGTGCTTTCTTTCCTCTTGGCCAGATGTGAAATATTTTAAAAAATCTGTTGTAGACCGTAAACCACCTTTGTAGTGATTTGGGAAACCAAGCGATAACACTAATATTGATTCCTTCAGATATGGACTCCAGTCATAGCACAACGCTTCAGCCTACTGCAGATCCAAATACAGGTTTGGTGGAAGACTTGGACAGGACAGGACCTCTTTCAATGACAACGCGTAAGGATAATGATGATCAGCCCCTTTGTCGACTTGTATTCCTGCTTCATCTCTTAATCCCCATTAGTCAGGATGCAGAGCTTTGGTGGTGGAATGGTGCATTTAGTTCTATGTGGCTCCGCTCAGCCCAGTGTGTGAAACTGTCTTCGTTGTCTATATTTCTTGTGGAAGTCTCTCAACCTGATTTTGCCTTCATTTCTTAGTGCCTTCCAGATTCAATGACTTTGTGTTTTAAAAAAATGTGGGACTCTATTCAACTCCATTTTTATTCTCTAAGTAGTTATGTCAGTGAAACACAAGCCCACTTCCAGGATAGTGATTTCTCTATGTTTTAACTGGCCATTTCCTTTTAATATCCATCTTTCCTCCAGCCAATGCAGAAGAGGGATAGGATTGCTTGCATGGTTGTGACAAGACATTTTTGGGGCCAGATAATCCTAGAAATTACATCACTTCTTAGAGGAGAGGCAAGGCATGTGATTGACAATCAACAAAGGTGGCAGGATCCCTGGAACAACAACAAAAAAAAATTTGCTAGTATCTCTTTCTATCACTAAGAAACGGTCAACTTCTAGTAGCCTTAATTTCTACTGTATGTGCAGGAGTGTCCTAGGGCTCAGCCTAAAGTCATTCCTAATTTCTTAGAATAATACGAAAAAATATCTAGAATTAAGAAGGTCCCATTTTACTGCTTGTCACACATAATGGGAAGAGCCCTTCATATGAGCCCTTTAGGCAAAGCAAAAAAATCAGCAAGCATGTATTGATTGTCAGCAATGTAAATAGCACAGTGTTGAGCACCAAAGGAGATACAAATAAGCCTATACATGACCCTTGCCAAAGAAAGACTTATATTTTCATTTTATGTCACTGTTGGCTTTTGTTCTGACGTTGGGTTTGGGATTTGGTGACTGTCTCTCCTGGTTGTAATATTTATTTGGTGGTGGGCATGGCTTATGGGTGTGCTTCATAAAGTTTTTGCACGTGCAACTCAGAGGTCAGTACCTTTCTTAAGAACACAAAAGAAATAAACTTGAAACAGTCCAGGTGATTTTAGATATGGGCAATGGTTCAACCTCAAATTGAGATATATCACTGAGGGCCCTGTGTTTGCCCAGGCAAGCGTTTCCTTGGTGCAGCCATGAGAATCCCCCTAGACAGATGAAATAAAAAAAGCTTAATAATGGAGTAAAATGGTAACTTTAATTTAATGACCTTTACAAGGTAGCTAAGTATTGCCTTGTATAAATTTGATCGGTGTTACTCAAGCAGGCTATTCTAGATAGGCTTCTCTTTTTTTTTTTTTTTTTTTTTTTTTTTTTTTGTGGTTACAAGTAGACTACGGGCTATCATGCTGTTTATCTTCCCTACTGTCACATTTCTTGACACTCAGTTAGATGCTCTTGATTTCTGATAGGAGCATTGAGATTCAAATATTCTTTTTTCCTCATCTCTGTGTTCTCTGGTTTTCCTGAGTGACTGGGAATGATGCTACAATTGCACCAGAACAATCCAGGGTAGGCAAAGTTTTGGCTCAGTCTTCACCTTGCCACTTTACCTTTGCTGACTATACTGAGAAATAGTCTTTGGAACCAACTAGGGGGGAAATAGAATTCTTCTGTATATTTCTATCTATCAGAGGAGAATGATGTGCACAAACCTTCGTGCCTACCCGTCTGACTCTGCGATAGCTACATCTTCCCTGCTAGCAGATAACAGGATTTGTGTCATAACTTCAAATTAACACTGGATTCATCCCTCATTGAAACAGAGCAGAGTAATTCTCAGAGCTTCTCTACATCACACGAAGGCTTGGAAGAAGATAAAGACCATCCAACAACTTCTACTCTGACATCAAGCAGTAAGGAATAATTCTAAAACCTAGTTGGCTTCAGCAATTGATAAGAATCAATACATTATGGGTGCTTTTGCAGTGTCTTTGGTGGAGGTGCCTCCATTGGCTGCTGTTATGCTGTTACTTTTAATCAAAAGGTGCGTCTGGTGGTGGTTCTCTGATTTTTCTGTTTCCTATACCTCTTTGTACATTAAGTGCAAACTACATTTCTTAATCTTAAAGGTTGTGTTTCTTTCACTCCAGGGTTAGTAATTTGTTTTGACAATAATGAATTGCTTGTATATGATTTATTTTATTTATTTATTTTTGTTAACTTCAGATCATTCTTTTTGATGTGGGCATTTAAATTTAGTGCTATAAATTTCCCTCTTACTACTGCATTAGCTATGTCGCAGAGATTCTGGTACCTTGCACCTTTCTTCTTATTAGTTTTAAAGAACTTCTTGATGTTTACATTAATTTCATTATTTCCCCAAAAGTCATTCAGGAGCAGGTTATTCAATTTCCATGTAATTGTATGGTTTTGAGTGAGTTTCTTAGTCTTGATTTCAAATTTGATTGTGCTGTGGTCCATGCGACTGTTTGTTGTGATTTCAGTTCTTTTGCATTATGATTTATAATTGGTGTAAATGTCTGATTATATCACTTTATATTCCTCACATTAACATTGTTTTGCCGTTTGTCCTCTGGACCTCCATGGTGCTGATGACTGAAAGGAATCCCTTCTGGAAAATGAAAGAATAATTAAATTAGTAGCCTCAGGCCTTTGAAAACTTGCCTTTGCTATTCTAATTGCAGGCAGCAAAATTTTATCTTTCAATCCAATGGTATGTTTTCTCCACTTCATCAAAAATGAATCCAATTGAGAAAGAACTCAAGATTGTCTAGTACTTTGGCCGACTTCAAGGTCACAGTTGTAGTGACATAAGCCTAACCTAATAACCCAAGCAGATGTTGCAACAAATGCCAATTCTGGGTATTAAGATAACCAAAATCTCTTTTGTTGAGTGATGTCCAGGTGGTGGTGGTGTCCGTTGAAAAATATTTATTCTGTTCGATAGTATGGTGAACTTCACTCTATTCCTCCCTGCTTATGGGTAACAAGTGGAAAGCTTTTGCAGCAATTGTGTGTTCTGGAGACAAGCACATGGTGGTTACAATGTGGGTTCATCATTGATTTCACCTCCACACAGATAGAAATGATGTCAGAGGTGGAAGAAGAGGCCCAAGTCATTTTGAACCCTCAACTACTTTACTGGAAGGTTACACCTCTCCTTACCCAGACCTGAAGGAAAGCAGAACCTTCATCCCAGAGACTCCAGCTGAGACTGGGTCATTTGGAGTTACTGACGTTACTGTTGGGGATTCCAACTCTAATGTCAATCACTCTTTATCAGGTAATTTGGCCATTTATTATCTAGTTTGCTTTCTCTGTGTAGAGAAACAATACATACTTTCATATTACAGAGGGCATTTTCTGTGTAGTCTGGGATTGGACTAGCTTGTGATATGGAAATGTCTTTCATCATTGGTTATCAATTCTAGTGCAAATCAACTTGGATTTATTTTAGATAAAAGAATACTACCTTTTGCCAGTGTTTTTTCCATTTGTGTGTATGTGTGTGTGTGTGTTTTTGTATTATGTGTACAACTTGGCTGTTATGATGGAATTGCTTTCTTTTTCTTATCTTGTGATATATCAAGTTGAACCACATGAAACTGATATTTTTGCAGGTCAAAATAGTTGAATATTACAATTCCATTTACTTTGACTAATATATGTAACTTATTTAGTAAGGTTTTATCCTACAGGTGAATAATTTCTATATACTAGTATCTTTGCTCTGAAATTATTATCTTGTTTTGGTGATAGATTGATCAGTTTTACTTTTGGTGATGGATAAACCTCTTCTAGCTCTGATGTATACTTAAAATCTTCATGATTTAATCTAGTATTAGTGAATAGGGACCGTTTCTCCTATTGTTATGGTGAAGAGAGGACTGAAGATAATCTATTCAATTAAGCTTGACATGGACCTAGAATAAGTCTTTTTTTTTTCTTCCTCAAATAAGCAGTCATCTCTGCTTCTGCTTTTCTTAGCTTCTCCATTTGTATTAAGAAATTAACACTGAAGAAAGGAGAACTTGCAAACGCCCACTGTAGTGAAGAAATTAAAAACAGATTCTGTCTTCCTAGTACTAGTGTTTCAATTGCTTTTTAACACTATCACTAAGGCATATTCAAGATTAGAGACTTTAGATATATACTTTTGGAGCAGAGATCTTCTCTCCCCACTCCTGAAAAAAGAAAAAGAATAGATATGAGAACCCAGTAAGTAAAACAGATGACAGTTGTGATCCAGGGACAGAAAATTCAGAATGCCACATGTGTGGCCTCATTTCTCTGGGTGGCCTACCCCGAGCTTCAATAAAGCTAAGAAAATACCAACTTCAGCAATATGGGCAAGACAAAGCCCTTTCCACTCCTTAGTTCTTTATTCAGCATTGTTCTGCTCTCACTTATTAAAAATTCCAAGTACTACTGTCAATATTCTTCAGTAAATCTTACAGTGCTGCCTAATTTCTCTTGGCAAAAGAAAGCCCGTTGTGCAACCTAATGAATTAAATTTTTTTGTGTGTGTGTGTGACAGAGTTTTGTCCTGTCACTCAGGCTGGAGTGCAGTGGCACAATTTCGGCTCACTGCAGTCTCTGCCTCCCGGATTCAAGTAATTCTCTTGCTCCAGCCTCCTGAGTAGCTAGATTACAGATGTGTGCCACTACGCCCAGCTAATTTTTGTTTTTTTAGTAGAACAAGGTTTCACCATGTTGGCCAAGCTGGTCTGGAACTCCTGACCTAAAGAGATCCACCCACCTCAGCCTCCGAAAGTGCTGGGATTACAGGCATGAGCCAGCACACCCGGCCATGAATTTAAATTTTAAATGACAATTTTAATAGTCACAGTATGCTAGAAGGCTTATAGCATGTTAGTGAATCAGTGCTTTCTACAAAACTGATATTCAGCTATTCACAGACACTGATTCCTTCTGCTTTTCACAGTGGTACAGACAGATTTTCCACAATTCTCCATGGATTAGACAATTAAGTGACTCAATTCTCATTCTTGGTTTTCTTCAAAAACACTCATGTAAATTTCATTTATACCTATACATGTTTCTCAGTCTTTATGCTTAATGTTAAGAACTAAAGCATTTGTTGAAATGGGCGGATCACTTAGGGTCAGGAGTTTGAGACCAGCCTGGCCAACATGGTGAAACCTATCTCTTCTAAAAATACAAAAAATTAGTTGGACATGGCGGCAGGTGTCTGTAGTCTTAGCTACTCAGGAGACTAAGGCGTGAGAATCACTTGAACCCAGGATTTGGAGGTTGCAGTGAGTCGAGATGGAGCCACTGCACTCCAGCCTGGGGAACAGAGCAAGACTCAGCCTCAAAAAAAAAAAAAAAAAAAAAAAAAAAAAAAAAGAAGAAGAACTAAAGCATTTGGAATTGTGGTGGCAATGGTGGTGGTGGTGGTGGTGGTGGTGGTGGTGGTGGTGGTGGTGGTGATGGTGGTGATGGTGATGATGATAATCATGGTAATGGGATTGCGATGGTGATGGTGATTTTGGTAGTGGGAGTATTGGTGTGGCATTTCAGCAAATGTTGTTTTCATTTATTTTAGCCATCGGCCAAGGAACAAAGCAATCTGTCTCTTCAATATAATTACACAAGTGACTACATGTCACCCACCTCCACTTTCTCTTATCAAGGAAATGGTGATGATTAGGTTACTCTAGATTCCTTATCAGGTGCCTTCATAATGGACAACTGCAGCCATGTTTTGTGAGCGTTACCCTGTGATTAAAAAAAAAGATTCCAGTATACTTTTGAAAAATGGGGGTGGGGAAGGAGTTTTATGGATTTAGATTTTAGCAATTCATGACCTTGTCTTAATCTAAAGCTTTCTGGCGATAATCCTTCCTTGAGCAGTTAGGATTATATTAACTAGTCATGTTGAAAATACAGATTCAACTTTTAAAAAATACTATTTTAAAATTATCATAATATCCATATTCCAGTACACATTACTCATGTTAGCTACCATCTCACCATTTCCTTTTTTACTTATTTGCAATTTTTTTCTGAAAATAAGTAGCTGACCTTTCTCTTTGAGTCTTTCCATCATTCAATTCCAAGATTTCTTATTCCATACGAATTTCCTGCTGCCAAGGAAGCTCTTTGTTTCATGCCCTAAACCAGAGTACGCCCATTTCCAGTGATTACATTTCTCATAATCAAATTCATATTATCCTTATTTAAAATGTACAATGTCTTGTCTCAACCTCAGACCTGCAAAGATATTACAATATTTTTGTTAGCGTGTTCCTTATCACAGTTGTTGGATTTCTACCAAAACCAAGTTTCTACAGAACTTCCTGTGGTCATCCTTCCTAGCCTTTGCTGCCCTAGTTTCCTTAATTCTGATTAAAGCTCCAGGTCATTTATCAGTGGATTAAGCAGTGAACAGTAATTAATATTGTGGACCCATTCAAGGACGTTTTGCCATCATTTTTTGGAATACCTTAAAAAGACTAAACTTTGTGATAGTCTGCATAAGAACACAAACGTAAGGAAATACAGATGGGAATATAAGTGGAAACCTGCAGTACTGACCTTCCCGATTGCTCGTTACAGGAGACCAAGGTGCATTCGACCCCAGCGGGGGCTCCCATACCACTCATGGATCTGAATCAGATGGTGAGTTCAAAACAGCTTCATTTACTGTTACAATCCTTGAGCCTGATGATGATGAGTCAGTGTCTCCAGAGAAGTAGTTCTCAAACCTTCTTACCATACATCACAATTACAGGGAGGGCTTATTAAATCACAATGTTGGACCCCACCCTTAAAGTTCCTGATTCAGTAGGTCTGGGGTGGAGCCCAAGCATTTGCATTTCTCATCAGTTCTTTGGTAATGCTGACAGTGCTGGGACAGGGATTGCACTCTGAGAACTACTGCTCTGGAGAAAAGCCTTGCATCTGAAAGCCTCAGGAGGAATTCAGGCAGTGTCCCAATTTAACACTGCACTACACCAGAGTGATTTCAGAGCATGAGTTTTGTAGCAAAAACGGCCTCTGTTCGACTCCAGCCCTCTGCATTATTAACTGAGCAAGAAGCTTAAAGGGTCTGAGACAAAATTTCTCAACTCATAAACTTGGAATAATAAGAATTGTCACAGGACACTGTTTCAAAGGCTAAATGGTGGAATAAATAGAAAGCATTTAGCATAGTCCTGGCACATGATATCATAGCTGGTATTTGTTGGGAATTGACTGTGTGCCAGCAGCATCTTTCTCAACACTTTACCTGTATTAGATTGGGCCAAATGGAACTGCCATTACTGTGGGTCAGAAATAGGTCAATATCAGCAAATTCATAGAGTTTATCTAGTATTAACTCATTCAATCATCCTACAAACTCTGTGATGACATCGGTGAGTAGTAGTATTATTCCCATGTTACAGATGAGGAGACTGAGGCTCAGAGAGGGCAAGTAACTTGGCAGAGTTGACAGGACCAGGGAGTGATGGAGCCACATTTCAAGCCTGGGGGTCTCATGTTACTTCTCATAGCAGTCTAGAGAAGGCATTCTATAATGGCCATAATTACTGCCAGGCATGCATTTGTGTTTTTTTTGTTGTTGTTTGTTTTGTGTTTTTTTTTTTTTTTTTTTTTTTTTTGAGATGGAATCTCACTCTGTCTTCTAGGCTAGATGGAATGCAGTGGAGTGATCGTGGCTCGCTGCAACCTCTGCCTCCCAGGTTCAAGCGATTCTCCTGCCTCAACCTCCCAAATAGCTGGGATTACAGGTGTTCACCACCACACTGGACTAATTTTTGTATTTTTAGTAGAGATGGGGTTTCACCATGGTGGCCAGGCTGGTTTTGAACTCCTGACCTTAAATGATCCACCCACTTCGGCCTCCCAAAGTGCTGGGATTACAGGCATGAGCTACGACACCCAGCCAAGGCATGCATTCTTAAATAGACTCCTGTTTGTTGTGATCCCGATCACACCCTTGAAAACCTTACCCCAGACTGCAAAAGTCTGACATGAGGTAGATTTACTAATGACTTCTACTACTGGGCTACTGGGAGGTGCTGCCAGTGCTGCCTTACTGTGGTCCCCTTGAGCATCACAAATCCAGGTGACCCCCATGTAAATGGTTTAAGCCATATCAATTATTGTCCTCCCTTTTTATACCCAAGTTCGAGTGAGGCTCACAATCAGGTTTAAATGTTTACACATTGAAAACAAATAGGAAGATGGATAGTTACATAGTGGCTTCCATAATAACCCTCTATGGAGGAGCACTAGGAGATAGAGGTTCATTAGAAATGCCTCTGAAATAGGGACAAAAGTCACAGGTTCACTGGGGACCTTAGGCGGGACACTTAACCTTTCCCAGACTCAGTCTCCTTGTTAGTAAAAAGGAGATCAGATCACCTACCTCAGTTGCTTCCTAGAGTTCTTGTGAGGAAGACAGGGTGCCAGAATTGTGAAAGTACTCTGCAACAGGAGGGAGTTCTTATTAAAGGGTATGCTCTCTAAACCAAGAGACCTCAGCCACTCTCTGAGTGTGGTTCTTTAACCATTAGCACGGACATCACCTAGGAACTTGTTGGAAATGCAGAATCCCTGGCCAACCCAGACCTACTGAATTAGGATCTGCATTTTAACTATAGCCTCCTACCCAGGTGGTTTATATGCACATTAAAGTTTGGAAGCTTAGACTGTGCTAGACTGCTTTTCTCACCATTGAAGACAATTGAATGTATCTCTATGCACATGTCTAGGATTACATCTCATCTCCCAACAGGAATATCAAGTGCTCCTCATTATGGGACTTGCTATTGTGGCCAGTCCTACGCTGGCTGGATTTGTAGACATCTAGAGCACAAGGCAAGGCCTGCTGTCTCACATCCATCCTCTGTGGCTTTTGCTTGAAGTGAGAATCAGGTGGACGGGAGCCAGTCTCTTTTGTTTGGCTTCTGAGCAGGTGTCTATTGTTCAAACAGGAGGTTTCGTCTTGTTGCACATACACCCAGATCTTTTCTTGCTGGGAGCATTTTTTTTTTTTTTTGAAAATCAAAATAAAGAGATTAGGATCCATTAATGGCCTCACTTTTAAATATCAAAGTCTTCTGTGAGTCAGGAAAAAACCGGTGAGAGTGACTCTACCTCCTGGGGAGTTTTTAAGGCCAAAGATCTTCAGTTTAGGTGGCCAATGTCCCATGACTTGGGCAGGTGAAAACCTGCCAACCACCAAGGACACTGGAAGGCATGTCGGGAAAGGACCTTGGAGTGTTTTGGAGGTTTGTAAAGTAAAAGGCCATTGTCAATGTAGGATGGGGGATGTTGAAACCGCCAGATGTCTGGTAGGAACTTGTTTTGTTCCCTTTTAAGTTTTAACAAAAGCATCACATGGCATAAACAAGAGCCATCCTGTCCCCAAATAACCATTGTGATCAAGATTTCTGTGTGCACAGTCTGAAGTTTGACTCTGAGGAAAGCTCTCACTTAAGGCCACACTGTCTTTGTCCATTGATCACCTTCAGGATTCTACAGTGGGCTTCCATTTGGTAGGGAAAAAAAAGTTCGTTTGGGTGGGACACCTTGGAATTTTGTTTTGAAGTAAAGGAGGAAGAATGGTTTAAAATCCATGAAGCTTTAATTTTGATGAGTCTTTCCACAAGATGTCTTAGAAGTTTCTTTTTAAAAAAAGTTTGTGTACTTACTTATTTATTCTTATTTTTAATAGGGACAGGATCTCCCTGTGTTGCCTAGGCTGGTTTCAAACTCCTGGGCTCAAGCGATCCTCCTGTTTCAGCCTCCCAAAGTGCTGGGATTATAGGCGTGAGCCTCTGTGCCCGGCTTCTTATAAGTTTCTTTTAGAAGCATTGTGTCTCACTCATTTGGATCGGCCTCCAGTTCTGACTTGAGGATTGTCTGGCATGCGATACTTCCTCCCAGTTTGAGGCAGTTTGTTCATTTCCTCATTTGGCCTTCTAGCAGTAGAAAATGTTGATTCTTCTAACAAGGTGCGTTTCAGTAATCTGTATTAGCAGGGACTCTAACAGCGTGATTTTTCATAGTCAGAAAGGGCCACTGCCCCCAAACTCTTTATTTTTTAGTGTTTATGTTGGCTCCCATGATGCTATTGGATGGGATTTTCAGGTTCCCTTTGGGCTTTCTGGAGCATGTGAATCCCCTGGGGGTCTTGTTAAAATGAAGATTCTGATTTGGTAGCTTTGAGGTGAGGTGGAAGATTCTGCATTTCTAGCAATCTCCCCAGATATGCCTGTGCTGATGGTACAGGGGCCACACTTTGAGTAGCAAGGTCCTAAATTAAAAATAGAAAATAACAACCACACACAACTACCAATACTGTGTACTTTCTTAAACCTCTATAAAATGATGATGAACGGGATTCTATTATCCCCATCTTATGAGTGTGAAAACGGAGACTCGGAGAAGGTAAATTGACCCAGCACATATGGCTAGTTAGCAAGGGACAGCAAGGAGAGTGAAACCCAAGGTTGCCAGCTCTAGACCCCAAAGTCCTGAACACTGTCAACAGTGCTGCTGAGAATTCTCATGTTCCTTGATACAGGATAACATTACCAAGCCTTAGCCTTAATTAAACTGAGGGGGGGGGGATATCTTTTGTGTAATGCTTTATAAACGTCTGCAGCTTGAATCCATAAATGGCTTCTCAGTGATTCAGAATGTGGAGAGCAGCCCTTTACGTGGCTCCACAAGGAACTCAGGGTTATGCATTTCAAATTTTGGTTGAGAGATTTTTTTTTTTTGTTTGTTTCTTTTTCCCTTAGGACATTCACATGGGAGTCAAGAAGGTGGGGCAAACACAACCTCCGGTCCTTTAAGGACACCCCAAATTCCAGGTGAGTTTCAAACTGTGAGGCAGAAAAAGACGCTGAAAGCAACTGTCTCAGAATGTCCCAGCACGGAAGAAGAGATCCATTTGAAAGCACATTCTCCACAATGCCCAACGTATGAATCCAATTGTTCCTCTTTGCAAGTTAAAGGATGAGTGAGAGTACTACAGCCTATTGGTAGGAAAAGGTAGAATAGTCTTTTCCTGGGTTCTGCAGACTAGCTGAGCTCATGTGCAGCTCTGTCCCTGGCCTGTCCCAGAGAAGTGCCATGTTAGTTATGAAAGCTTTCTTCCTAAATGAATGACCATCCAGAGGACCCATGTCATACCTAGGTCCTTTTTATCTCAATCCAATTTTCCCTTATTTCTGGGGTCCAAGGTGAAGCGTGTAATTTTCCTCTTACGGTTGCAGACAGGGAGGTGCTACAAGAGGCATTTATATCAGATGAAGTGAAAACTTTCTTTCTTTTGGTTCCCCAGCTACTTTTTTTTTTTTTTTTCTTTTTTTTTTTTTGTCGAGGGACTGCCTGCTGATGTGGACAGAATAAACTTTTCAGAAGGTGTGACATGTGCAGTGAGGAGGCGGGGACACCTGGTTCTCCTGCGCATCAAGACAAGGCATTTGTTGCAAATTCTTCATTTGGTTTGGAATCAAAATTGATTTGTCATGGAGAATTACTAAAGGGAAGGGTTCTCCTAAGGTTGTAAATTACCCTTTTAATTCTCTCCTCTTCAGAGGTCTCCAAACTGAGCCTCCCTTGGGGAAAGAGAAGAATGTGGCATACACCTTTCTCCTTTGCCCCAGCTTGCCTAAGCACACCTGAAGATAGAGCAGACAGAGACAGGTGGGCTGCCCCAGAGGAGGGAGAGGGGAAGCCTTAGCTGTCATCAGGCAGCAAGATTCTTCCCAGCTCCAGTGACAGTGCAGGTGGGCCATCTCAGGGCTGGAGACCAGGGCCACGGTGGGCAGGAGTAGAGAGGAAGAACAGAAATGGTGCCCTCCTGTCAGTCTCCCCACCTTCTGACTCTATCCCCATCTCTAAATTCATCTAAACCAGGAAAAGGTGAGGTAAAAGTATGCAGAGCAGAAGCTCAGAGATAAACCAAGATTTCCAAGAAGAAAATAGATAATGAGACTTTCCATGTCTCTTCTTTCTCAAGCCCTGGTTCATTGCACACATATACAACCCACTTTGTAACTGAATTTGGTAAAGTTGTCAAGTCATATTTTAGTCCAATGAAAGCCTGATTTCAAAATGTGCAGAATATTAATCCACAGTGATATAATCGTCTTGCTGAAGACATTTGGAAAAATACAACTAGATAAAATAATGAAAATATAAATCACTTATTACCTTTCTCACCATCCAGAAATACCATGGTTACTATTTTAATATACATCTTTCCCATCATTTTAAAATGTAAAATATATACCAAAACATGATTACACCTTACATAGTGTTTAGTAAACCTTACCTACTGGTTAACCGTGGATTCCATATCATTGAATATTTCCTCCTCATATTGTAGTGCATAATGCAATAGAGGTGCCCTAATTTATTTAACCCATCCTTTAATGTCTCCATTTTTGTTTTTTAACACAATGTAAGGTGGATGCTCTTATACAGGAAAACAATGTTTCTTTCAAAAGAAGCATACATTTCTTTTTATCTGTTTAATAATGTTATACCAAAGGCATCTACAAGATTCAACAAGTTATCCTGTAGTTTTTTAGAAACATAGTTCTCCTGGAGGGATTTGAAAATCCTGACTGATGATAAAAGATTAAGTCAAGGAGCTGGGCGTGGTGGCTCGCGCCTATAATCCCAGCACTTTGGGAGGCTGAGGTGGGTGGATTGCCTGAGGTCAGGAGTTTGAGACCAGCCTGGCCAGCATAGTAAAACCCCATCTCTACTAAAAATACAAAAAATTAGCTGGATGTGGTGGCGGGTGCCTGTAATCCCAGCTACTCGGGAGGCTGAGGCAGGAGAATCACTTAAACCTGGGATGCGGAGGTTGCAGTGAGCCAAGATTGTGCCATTGCACTCCAGCCTGGGCAACAAAACCCTATCTTAAAAACAAAAATTAAAGCAAGAAGGCTATTGGACAAATACTTAACAGCAAATTGTTCTTCCAGAATTACTTGCCTACTGGCTAGACCCTCCTGCAGTGCTGACTATGGTGCTTGTTTGACCTAGGTCAATTGTAAAGTGCATTTTTGTTTTTACAAACTGTGTCTCTGAAGCTTACACATGTCTTTTAATTTACTCACACCAGAATGGCTGATCATCTTGGCATCCCTCTTGGCCTTGGCTTTGATTCTTGCAGTTTGCATTGCAGTCAACAGTCGAAGAAGGTAAGGGGCTGTCCTGGGGGGCCTTCAACTTGCAAAAGGCATCATTTAAATGTGGGCTTTGTATACTTGTTGCTTAGAGTGTAGTCCCTGCAACCAGTAGCCTGGGCACCCTGGGGGTTGTTGGAAATGCAGAACCTCAGACCTGATCCCAGACCTCCTATGGCACAGTCTGCATCCTAACAAGATTCCAGGGATTCATGTGCATGGCGAAGCTTAAGACATCTTTCTCTGCCCCAGAGGTTAGAGAAAGGAGACACCTGTGATGTTTGGATCATCATTTTTAAGTAATGGTTGAATCTTTTATGATTTTAACTTATTTTTAAGGTTAAACCTCATGCAGACTCTATCTGATGAAAGTTATGAAATATCTCACCAGGAAGGCACATAAAAGTATATACTCATTCATTGATTTGTTAACTACTTATTAAATACATTCACAATGTACAAATATTGCATAAGGATTCAGTGATTCTTCATCCCCTATAGCCTCTCTGAGGCTCAGGGAACCTTTAGGAATCCTTCCCAAAAGCAGGCTCTGGCTTGTGCTCTGATTGGTGTTTTGTAATGATACGTCTTTCTATTTTATGGAAACCGTAGTTGAAGAGATTCAGGTTATAGCACAGGAATCCTTGCTCTTAAGAGCTCTATGAAACAGAGAACTTTTTTCAGGAAAGTAAGTGAAGACAGTCACCTCCCTGGAACTGACATGTGGGCTGTTTTTATATTCTTGAAGGCCACTCTCTCTCCCTACCTGAGCCAAGACCCATAGGTTTGGAAGTCATTTACGTGATATGTATATATACATGTTTAAGACTTGAACAGGTTCTAGAAATAATGCTACCTAAAGTGAAGTATAAAACAGTATTAATTCTAGCAGCAGAGGAAATGAACTTTAACAGGGGGACTCCAAATGTATAAATCTAAATTTCTTACCCAAGGCACTTTAAAGATACAGCATTTTTCTTCAGGACATAATTCATAGGAATATTAAACCTTTTGTAAATGTCCCTTTAGGTCGTTTCTTATAAGGTGAAAGAATCTTTATTTCCAAGCAAGGTCACCTTTAGTGTGCCCCTAGATCACCTCACAGGGTGGAAAAATGACCCTCAGTCTGGGAGAAGACCTAGAGAGAATTACAGACTCCTTCTTACTGGTTTTTGGAAGGCAACCAACAGCTAATTCCAACACCATGGGCAGCCCATACAGCCTCTAATTATCTGAGAAAACCAAATGGCGCTGTTATAATAATTACACTGGTACAAGTTAATAAAACTGCCGTATTACAGTCAAATAGCTATGTTGCTATCTATACCATTGACGGCATGATTTTAAAAAGTAGTTATGATAGCTGACGGTATGAGGAACAAAACTGAGAGGAAAAAAGTCTAAAAGGCCTCCTGTGATGAAACGGAAAGACATTTTTTAGTTGAACTTAAATAATGTGACTTGGGGGAGCCTTTACAAAGAGTCTTTATACTTCCCTTCAGCTTCCTTGTTTTCCCCTGGATTACTTTTGCTCAATTAAATATGAATTTTCTATTGTTTGCAATCAGCCCTTTATTGCCAAGCCCTAGAATGCACCACTTCTGTTCACATACACAGTCCATAACCTTTGCACATGTCACCATAGAAACACTGGCACGGATGCTGTCGACATTTAGGGAGACCTAAATGGGAGAGACCTCGGGCAAAGCATCTAAGCCGTCCCCAAGAGCAGCTGGAGTCAATACACTGGGGCTGGGTATCTCCCACGTCGCCTGTGTCTTGTCAGCAGCAGAGAGCAGAGAAGGGGCCTCATTGCGGCCCTCTCCCTCCTCCCAAGACCAGCCGTCACCCTGGCAACCGGCAAACAAGGATACACAGGGTCCTGCACAGCGAGTATCTCACCGGGAAAGTAGCTGCTTGAATGCCATAAATTACTATGTCCTGATTTGATAACTGAAAACAGATTTGCCACGCAGCTAAAGGGTGGTAAACAGCTGCACAGGCCCCTTAATGGGCTCTGTGACTCTAAAGCTGTCAACCCATTTCTAATCCCCTTCAAAGGCTGAGGCTTTTCTCCTTTGACTGCCACATTTAAGAGAGAGAGAGATACAGAATCCTATTTTCATCACAGAAAGGCTGGTTGAAAATGGGGCCTCCAATGGGTGCTCAGTATTCAGCAAACATCTTTTGAGTGACTCTGTGACTATCAATCCTGGCAAGGAGAAAGAGAAGATAAAAAACTAAAGGAGTATCACCCCTTTTCTAAAAGAATTTTGAGGTTCAGTGACAGTATTGGCCTCTTGAATTTGAATTGGCTAGTATTTATTGAGAACATTCCCTGTGCCAGGCACTGTTATATAAATTATGGTTAAAAGACGAAAGTAGGAAATTGTTAGTCTCTGAAGTTGACATACAAGGATGGACCCAAGGGCTTCCATGAAGTGATCTGTGAGTCACGTTGTCTTAAAGATGCTGGCTTGTGGACTCTATTACTTTTTTAGCTTTCTCCACCCCTGCCATCATCCACAACAGCTTTCCTCATGTCACCTGACTCCTTGAATTACAGCTCTCCAAGGGAAATCACACTTTATTCCCTCTCCGTGAGAGCACATAATTATTTGAGGAGTCAGTTGGGTTGATAGATACTGGATGAGGCTCCAGAGAAGATTTTCCTCTAAAGACTCTATTTGGGCCAGGTGCAGTGGCTCAAGCCTGTCATCCTAGCACTTTGGGCAGCTGAGGTAGGTGGATTACTTGAGCCTAGGCGTTCAAGACCAGCTTGGGCAACATGGTGAAATCCTGTCTCCACAAAAAAATACAAAAATTAGCTAGGCATAATGGCACATGCCTGTGGTCTCAGCCACTTGGGAGGTTGAGGTGGAAGAATCACTTGAAACCCAGGAGGTGGAGGCAGCAGTGAGCCACAATAATGCCACTATAGTCTGGGCAACAGAGTGAGACTCTGTCTCAAACAAACAAACAAATAAACACCTATCGGATTTGTCTGAAGAGGAGAAAAAAACGTGAGGACTTGACTGTGCTGCTTGTGCATAACAGGTGTGCACCAGCCTTCACTTTGTTGGGAATAATCGTCTTTTCTATAAACCCCAGCAGGCGGTCACCTGTACTCCACTCAGTAGGTCTCCTCTATGCATCACTATAATTTAGAAATGTTTTCCTTCTCTCTCTCTCTTTTTTTTTTTTTTTTTTTTTTTGAGATGGAGTCTCCCTCTGTCACCCAGGCTGGAATGCAGTGGCGCGATCTCGGCTCACTGCAATCTCCACCTCCCGGGTTTAAGCAATTCTTCTGCCTCAGCCTCTCATGTCGCTGGGACTACAGGCACACTACGCCATGCCGAGATGGGTTTCACCATATTGACCAGGCTGGTCTCGAACTCTTGACCTCATGATCCACCCGCCTCAGCTTCCCAAAGTGCTAGGATAACAGGTGTGAGCCACCTCACCTCGCCAGTGTTTTCCTTCTCTTATGCTACAGTCTAGCTCCCTGTAATCTGAGCTCACCCAACTCCGTCCTGCTGTCTAGAACAGTGCTATCCAACAGAACTTTCTGCAATTATGGAAACGTTCTTTATCTGCACTGTGCAATATATAACTACTAGTCACTTGTGGCTACTGAGCACTTGAACTGTGGCTAGTTCAACTGAAGAAGTGAATTTTTAATTTTATTTACTTGTAATTAGTTTAAATTCAAATGGCCACATGTGGCTGGTGGCTACTATGTTGGATGGCATAGCTCTAAAACAGTGCAAAATAAATCCCTAAATATCTTTAAGGATTGTCAGGTAGAAGAGTCATGAGATCAGTTGCTAAGTTACCCACCTAAATTGTTTGAGCTAAATTCTGCCATGCCATAAAAGTTAACATTACCTGGTTTCTAAACCCCAGCCAGCCTGCCCTTCCTTTCCTGGTGAGGTCCCAGTCTGCCTCCTTCCACAATGTGTGCTCAGCTAATGCCTGAGATTTAAGGGAAGAGGAGATAAAGGTAAGACACAGGTCCACGAGGATCTCTGATATTCAGAGTCAGAAAATCTAAGCTGTGGCTGGCCATGGTATCTCACACCTGTAAACCCAGCACTTTGGGAGGCCAAGGTGGGAAGATCATTTGAGGTCAGGAGTTCGAGACCAACCTGGCTAACGTGGTGAAACCCTGTCTCTACTAAAAATACAAAAATTAGCCAGGTGTGGTGGTACACACCTGTATGTAACCCCAGCTACTCGGGAGGCTGAGGCGGGAGAATTGCTTGAACCCAGGAGGTGGAGGTTGTAGTGAGCCACGATGGTACCATCGTACCCCAGCCTGGGTGACAGAGCAAGGCTTTGTCTCAAAAAGCAAACAACAGCAACAACAACAAAAACAACAACAGAAACCCAGAATATCCAAGCTGTGATTCTGTGATTCTGGCAGTACCATAACTAACTGTGAGGCTTTGGACAATACCCTTGACTTCTTGGACTTGGTGTCCAGTTTACATAAAGGAGAAGCTGGGCTGGATGGTCTCTGAAGCCCCTTCAGGCCTAGTGTTCCTTCTTAAATTCCTATAACTACGAAGAACTTAAAAATTAGAATTTGTCTTTTGAAAGTACTTATTAGATGCCTAGAGCACTGAATATTGGAATGAGTTATTTATGAGAATCATCCTACCCTCCTGAAAGAACTCAAGCAGATAGAAACACATAAATCCAAAGGGAAATGCAGGCCAGCCAAAACCCAAGCACAATATTCCTGTGTTCAGTAGGCCAAACGCTATTCACTGTCAAGATCAGCTTCGTTTAGATGAACAACATTAATCCCCACCCACTCCCATGCACATATTTTTTTTATGCTCATAAATCACTTTCTCACATTTTTTCATTACATCCCTCAACCACCCGTTAGATAGGCAAATGGGAATTACTTTAACTAGACAACTTTCCTCCAAAGAACACAGGGACCTGAGAATTTGAAATAACCCAAGCAGCATTCTCCTTTAGCTTTTTAAATCCTCTTCATAGTAAATATAATGAGGCAGGTGGAGGCAGCCAGGAGAAACAAGCAAAATCCACTTCATATGGCTTTTGTTATATTAACAATCATAGATAGCACTTCCTGAAAGCTTACTGTGCTCCAGATGCTGTTCTAAGTGCTTATTCCAAACCTTAGTTTCCTTACCCCACATCATTCATAAGAGCAAGGATGATAGAAATAATAGACTCATTTATTTAGTGGCATGCTCTGTTTCAAGGGCTTTTCACAATCCTATGATATTCCTACACTTAATAACCTGGTATTATTGATGCAAAACTGAGGCTAGAGAGATTAAGTGAGTTGCCCCAGATCACACAGCAGTAATGTCTCAAAACCAGGCCTCCCAAGCCCCTTTCTTCTTCTTTGTTTTTTGAGACAGAGTCATACTCTTTCACCCAGTCTGGAGTGCAGTAGCACAATCTCGGCTCACTGCAACTCTGCCTCCCAGGTTCAAGCAATTCTCCTGCCCCAGTCTGCTGAGTAGTTGGGCTTATAGGCATGTGCCACCATGCCCCCATGCCCTGATAATTTTTGAATTTTTGTAGTAGAGGTGAGGTTTCACCATGTTGGCCAGGTGGTCTCAAACTCCTGACCTCAAGTGATCTGCCTGCCTCGGCCTCCCAAAATGCTGGGATTACAGGTGTGAGCCTCCTTTTCTTTTTTTGAAACAGGGTCTCACTCTGTCATCCAGGCTGGAGTACAGTGGCACAAACACTGCTCACTGCAGCCTCGACCTTCTGGGCTCAAGTAATCCTCCCACCTTAGCCTTCCAAGTAGCTGGGACTACAGGGACGTAATGGCACACCTGTCTTATTTTATATTTTGAATAGAAACTGGGTTTTCCATGTTGGGCTGATCACGATCTCCTGGGCTCAAGTGATCCACCCACCATGGCCTCCCAAAGTGCTGGGACTACTGGCATGAGCCAGTACACCTGGCCTCCAAGGCCCTTTTCTTGACCATGCATCCTGCTGGACTCCATCTGTATTCTCGGTCCCCATGAATCTGTTTCACGGTTCAAGCATCCTTCCCCCAACCCCTCATTAAACCTCATGCCAGAGGAGACAGAGTCTACCTCCTGTTGAAGAGGTATAATTTCTATTTCCCCAAACAAGAGATTAAAGTTTATGGCCTTGGCAGTCCTGCAGGGAATGGTCCATGATCATGAATAATAGAGGCTTTCTCTGTATTACCCCAAATATCCAGAGGCAAAGTGAACAATTCTGACTTCATGCTGTTTCCAAATCTCCAGATGGCTGGCAGCACTGATAGAGCCAGGCAGAGCCCAGACTTTGGTCATAAAGGCCTGAATTTGAATATCAGCTCTGTCATTCTTACTCCCTATGTGAACTCGAGCAAGTTATTAAGCCCCTTTTGGCCTCAGTTGCCACTGCTGTATTATGGGAACAATAGCTGCTTTGAAAGATTCTTGTAAGAATTACAGAAAATTACATGTAAAGCATCTGGCATTCAGAAGGTAATCTGCTTCCCTTCATCCCCATTTTGCTTGTAGTTGTGAAGCTGTGCAACTTTGCTTCCTCTAAACATAGTCTGTGTAGTAGTGATGTGTGACAGGAAAGAGGAAGCATTGCATCAGGCTGGATGGGGTGAAGCAATGGACAGTAACCAGGGAAAAGGTCAAGGTCATGCTCTTCCATAGCAACTTTCTTTTGCATTTGAGTCTTAAGTAATGTTTAAGACACCTTAAAGTAACAAGAATAATTTGTCCTATGCTATTAAACTTCCTATATCAGGGTTATATGGGAGTTAACCAATGTTAGGAAAACATCACCATGGCCTTACACTTCTAGAAAAATGTTGTTTTATTCTGCTCGGTACATTCAGTAATAACACTGACAAGGCTGACAAAGTCTTGACTGGGAGAGGAAGTTATGGGACTTTCTGGAATATACAAATCAGAATGATTAATAATCATCATGTTGATGGTTTATCTAAATCTGCAGAAACTGTTAAAATGCTTAAAAGAGACAAACATTTCCATTATAAAGTATGATGGAAGGAGAATCACAACTTGAGAGTCAGACAGACCAGGGTTTGAATCTTCTTTTCTTACTTGTTGAGTTACTTGGGGGAAGTTAGTGAATTTTCTGACCCCCAAAGGTTTCTTCAGTTGTAGTGGGGGATAATAATAACACAAACTTCCTGGAGTTGTACCTGCTGATTTGCAAACTTGACTATGCAGAGAAGCCCCCGGGGCTTCTCTGTGAAACCACAGATCCTAGGCTGTAACCCTAAAGTTTCTGATTCAGTAGGTTTGGGGCGGGGCTGATAATTTGTATTTCTAGCAGGTTCCAAGATGATGCTCTTGCTGCTGGTCCAGGGACTTCACTTTGAGAAGTGCTGGCTAAGAGTTAGTAAGATAAAGTAGAGAAGACACCCAGCACAGTACTTGACACACACTAAGACCATCATAAACCACAGTGATCATCACCATGGTGCTCAATAATGATGATAATCTGATGCACTCTTCCTCATATGATACATTTTTTTTTTTACATTATTAGGTGTGGGCAGAAGAAAAAGCTAGTGATCAACAGTGGCAATGGAGCTGTGGAGGACAGAAAGTCAAGTGGACTCAACGGAGAGGCCAGCAAGTCTCAGGAAATGGTGCATTTGGTGAACAAGGAGTCCTCAGAAACTCCAGACCAGTTTATGACAGCTGATGAGACGAGGAACCTGCAGAACGTGGACATGAAGATTGGGGTGTAACACCTATGCCATTATCTTGGAAAGAAACAACCATTGGAAACATAACCATTATAAGGAGCTGGGACACTTAACAGATGCAATGTGCTACTGATTGTTTCATTGGGAATTTTTTTTTTTTTTTTTTTTTTTTTTAGCATAAAATTTTCTACTCCTTATTGTTTTTTTGTGTTTTGTTCTTTAAAGTCAGGTCCGATTTTTGAAAACAGCATTGCTTTCTGAAATTAGGGTCCAATTAATAATTAGCAAGAATTTGACCGTTCCAGTTCCCTCATGGAGGCCTTTCATTTCTTGGGTGTGCTATGGATGGCTTCTAACACAAGCCACACATACATAGTCCTGATCCCCAACATTTCCCCCATCAGCTAAGGACGTTCCCCAGGGCTAAGAGGGCCTGGTACCTGGAAGGAAATTTGAATGGGTCCATTTTGCCCTTCTAGTAGCCCAATTCCTGGGCATTGCTTCACAGTGAGGTAGCGGGGTGGGATGTACTGGTTACACATCTGCTTAAACAGACACCCCTGGAAATTTTTCAGATGCTTTTGGGAGACACCCAAAGGGTGAAGCTATTTATCTGTAGTAAACTATTTATCAGTGTTTTTGAAATATTAAACCCTGGAGGTCCTTTGATCAATCCAATTTTTTAAAGTTACTTTGTCAGAGGCACAAAAGGGTTAAAACTGATTCATAATAAACTTCTGTACTTCTTCCATCTTAACCTTTTGTGCTGTGATCCTTCAGTTTCTAACCAGCACTGTCTGGGTCTCTACAACTTATTAGGAAGAGCTGAGAATGGTCAAGAAGACTCTTTTAAAGTCTTTATCTTAGAGACCCAGAGTTCTCATTCAGACCTACTCAGCCAAATCTCATGGAAGATCAAGGAAGGCAGCGATGTTTTGTTTCTGACACTGTTCAAAGGTTTTCTTTCCTGTCTTGGGATCAGAATTGTATAAGCTGAGGAGCTTCAGCCTCTTTTATGGTTTAATGGCCATCTGTTCTCTCCTGCAAAGTCACATTAAGTTTGCATGTCCTGGGGCCCTATTTCATAGATGCTGGCCCTATTAGTGATTTCCAAAAACAATATGGAAGTGCCTTTCGATGTCATATGATAAGATGAGGAGCCAAGGGAAATGAAAGAGATTGGCAAGGGGAGAAGAGGATGCAGTGTAGATCCTGTCTGACATTTTTGGGGCTGCATTTGTAAATACACTCACACATGAGTGTTCTTGATGCAGTTGCTATTTAGGGGGAGTTAAGCGCCTGGGGAGTCCCTCGAAAGGTTACAGGAATTCCCATCATTGGAATCTTATCACCAGATAGGCAAGTTTATGACCAAACAAGAGAGTACTGGCTTTATCCTCTAACCCCATATTTGCTCCCACTTTGCAAGTCCATTGTGGCATTTATTCATCCGCCAGGGTCCTAGAACTTCCTAAGTTCCTAAGTTCTGATTGGTCCTGGAACTTCCAAAGCCTGCTTGTAATAGAAGCCATTGCATCTATAAAGCAAGGGTCCTATTAAACAGTATCTCCTTTCTTAGGCCCCCACAAAAAGTCGTTTGTTACCTAAACTTATATGTTTAACAGGCAATGCTTCTCAAACCACAAAGCAGAAAGAAAAGCTCCCAACTAAATCAGGGCTGGGCTTAGACAGAGTTGATCAGAAGAATATCTTTAAAGGAGAGATACCAACTTCCTGCACTATTCCCAGCCTCTGCTCCCAGCCTCTGCTCTTCCTCCTCTGTCTACCCTCTTCCCTCTCTCCCTTCGTTTCGCCCCATAATCTTGAAAAACTTCCTTTCTCTTCTGTGAACATCACTGGCCAGTTTCATATTCAGTGGTCTGGCTTTCTTCTTATTTTCTTTTCAGCTTGAAAGAAACTGGACATTAAGCCACTATGTGTTGTTACTGCCACTAGTGTTCAAGTGCCCTTTGTTTTCCCAGAGATTTCCTGGGTCTGCCAGAGGCCCAGACAGGTTCACTCAAGCTCTTTAACTGAAATGCAGCAGGCTACTCTGGGACAAGGTTCAGAAGGCTTACACCAGCCTCTACCTGTCCCCCAGGGAGACAGGAATAGTGACACAAGTGTCATAGCCAGAGATGGTTTCCACCCCTTCTAGACATTCCCAACAAATAGGCTGAGACAGGAAATTATTTTCAGTTTTATTTTGGAATTAAATATCTTTTTCCCTTTATTACTGTTATAGTCCCATACTTGGATATACCTCTGTTTTCCAGATAGAAATAAGGGAGTTCTAGAGCTTCTATTCCTTGGCCACTGTCAATGGAGAACTTCCCAAGTCTTTGCAAACCCTTGCAACATTTCCTGAAGTTTATGGGATAAGATGTGTTCTCATTCCCTTGACCTCAAGGGCATAACTCTGGAAGCACAGCTTGACCACATGTCATTTTCACCAGTGATTTTCCAGGTGAACTGGGCTAAATCATTAAACTGGGTCTTGTTTATAACAGTTAGAAGCCAACATTTAGTTATTTTGCAAAGCAACTAAGAGCTTAAGATGTAATTTTTCCTATAATTGTAAATCTTTTATATCTCCTGAGGGCTTCCCTTAAAATTAGCTCTGAGTGAAAAATCAAGTGAGACAAAAGACACGTTCAAGTCCATATTTCAAGCCTGGTAGAATTGGCTTTTCTAGCAGAACCTTTCAAAAAGTTTTACATTGAGATTCATAACAAGACCAAGAATCGCTTTTGTAGCCAACGTTCATTTAATACTGTTACATCAGAGGAATAGGCAAGAGGAAACGTTTGACTTCTCTGGAAAAGCAAAATGTACTTAAGAACAAGAATAACATGGTCCATTCACCTTTATGTCATAGGTATGCCTTTGTGTAAATCATTTGCTTTGAGTTTTCAAAGAATAACTCATTGTTCATTCACGTACTGTACAATGACCACTGTTATTGCTACTTTGACTTTTCAGAGCACACCCTTCCTCTGGTTTTTGTATATTTATTGATGGATCAATAATAATGAGGAAAGCATGATATGTATATTGCTGAGTTGAAAGCACTTTTTGGAAAATATTAAAAGGCTAACGTTAAAAGACTAAAGGAAATGGACTCAGAGGTCTCTAATTTAAAAGAATGGGAGGCTGAAAGGAACAGAACTTTGCTTATCTGGCACTGTCTGTAATTTAGAGGAATAAAGTCAAAGGTATCTGAGATGGCTGGAGCCTCATACTCATTTTTTTAAAAAGCAAAAATGACATGGGTTTCCATCAACTTGAAAGTCTTCGATTTTCTATGAGTAACGTGTGGCTCACGTTTTTCAAACTAAATGAGATACAATGAAGTGTTAGTTCTTTTAAAGCCAAGAACTACTCCTGGACTTCTAGTCGAAGAGAGGAGAGTGTACATACCTTCATTCCCTCATGTAAGCCTCTAAAAAGAAAATAAAGAGATATCTCCAAACGGAAGCAACCAATGGAGTTGAGGAGATTGAAAGAAGAGACAAGAGCAACAAAAATTTGAAGCTGAAAAGTGACAGCTGATTAGTACCTGAATGAACAAATCCGGAAAAGCTGACTTCGAAGCCTGCAGTGTGGAAAACTGAGAGACAATCAGATTTATGTGACAGAACCATCAAAAGGCTCAGTAGCTATTCGGGAAATGAAGGGGAAGATGAAGCTAAGATTAGGACAAGCTGAAAGTCTATGTAAGAAGCAGTTAGAACTCCAGGTCCCCTTCCTTACTCTGTATAACCGAATACTGCCCTTTCCCAATCTCAGCAAAGACCAGAAGTTTATTTTCTGGAGATGAGGAGATAGAGAGTCTCTCTTTGAAGGGCAACCAGAAGTACACAGTTGACATTAGAAATACCACACTGAGGGCCAGGCATGGTGATGCATGCCTGCAATTCCAGCACGTTGGGAGGTCAAGGAGGGCTGATTGCTTGAGCTCAGGAGTTAAACAGCCTGGGGAATGTGGAAAAATCCTGTCTCTATAAAAAATACAAAAATTAGCCCGGCTGGTGTTGTGTACCTGTGGTTCCAGATACTCGGGAGGCTGAGGTGATTTGACCCTGGGAGGTCGAGGCTGCAGTGAGTTAAGATCACTCCACTGCACTCCAGTTTGGGTGAAGAATAAGAATAAGACAGAGAGAGAGAGAGAGAGAAAGAGAGAGAGAGAGAGAGAGAGAGAGAGAGAGAGAGGGAGAGAGAAAGAGAGAAGGAGAGAGAGAGAGAGAGAGAAGAAAAGAAAAGAAAAAAGGAGAAAGAGAGAGAAAGAAGAAAGAAACAGAAGGAAGGAAGGAAAGAAGAAAGGAAGGAAAGAAAGAAGGAAGGAAGGAAGGAAAATCATACTGAAAAAGTGAAACCATGCTTAGAGTGTTGAGATTTCCTATCCTCTCCCAGCTTGGCTCTCAGAATGCTGGCAACTAGGCATATGTTCTCCAGGCAGAAGCTCAGTGTTTCTGGGAAATCTTATAAGCCTGAGAGAAAATTCTACAAATATTAACATGGTAATTTCCCAAGGCAATGGCCCAACAAAGCAATCTGCAATGAAGATTGCATCTGAAGCCCCACCAGGCACCCAGGACTCTCAGTCAGCTTTCTGTAGCTTACTCTCACACATGAACAGTCACCAAGGAGCACCAGGCATTTGGAGAAAACATCTAATGTTAAAGTCAGGGACTAAGGAAAACAGGAAAAAGTACCTTGACAGAAAAGAAACTGCTTGGAGAAGGAAACTTTTTCTAATAAAGTCACCAATACCCTCAGTATGATAAGAGGAGATGGTATATCTATAAAGCAGAAACACAATGCCAGGATTAAAAGGAACATATAGAGAACAGTTTAAAAAGCAGCTTTTAAAAATGTAAACCTGAGAGCACAAACTTAAAAAGAAACCTCACAGAAGGTTTGCAAGATAACATTAAAGAAACACCCTCAGAAATAGAGCAAAGCAAAGAAATGGAAATAGATGGGGAACACACTGGGAAGACTGACACCCAGTCCAGGAAATTTAACATATAAATGCTGTAATACAAGTCACAGGAAGAAAAAAAAAATAGGAAGCAATTCTCCAAGAAATAAATCAAGAAAATTTCCCAGAACTTTAAAACATGAATATCTTGACTAAGAACCTAGTGAGTACTTAGTAAAATGAATAAAAACAGACCCACATGAATGCATATTATCTTAAAAATTCTTGACCCCTGTGGCAAAGAGATGATCCTATGAGCATCTAGAATCAGAATAGAATCAGACTTCGCAACAGCCAAATTGGAAGATAGAAGACCATGAAACAGTGCCTCAAAAATCTGAAGGAATTATTTCCAAGCTAGAATTCTAGCTTAGTTAAACTACAAATTAAGTATAAGGATAGAATAAACACATTTTAGGAAAGCATAGTCTCCAAACTTGCTCATCCATTCCCAGGCAACTCCCAAAGGATGTACTCCAACAAAACAAGGGAGTTATAAGAAAGGAGAAGAACTCAGTTTCAGGAAACAAAGTAGAGGGAGTTCTTAAGATGATGATAAATGGAGATCCCAAGATGACAGCTGTATAGCAGGCCTAGAGAACAATCAAAGTTGGAGTACTGACTAATAATTAAAACAATCAATGTTTTGCCTTCATTGACCTCTAATTAAAAAGAAAATTATTTTTTGTTATATTCATTAACTACTCATGCATTAAAAACTGTTCCAAAATTAGTCACTTAAAATAACAAGCATGTATTTATTTCTTGTGTGTCCACCAGTTAGCTGAGTGCTTCTGCCGATCTTGGCAGGACTCACTTAAGCATGACAGGACTCATGCATTTGTATGTGGCTAACAAACCGGTCAGCTAGAAGCTGTCTGATCTCATATGGCTTCATCTGGAATGATGGGGGCCTTTTTCCATCTGACTCTCACATGCCTCCAGCTGACTGGTCCAGGCCTGGCAGGGTTCCAAGTAAGAGCACATGCTCACAGGTTCTTTTGAGGCCTAGGCTCAGAATGGGTGCTCATCATTCCACCATATTCTATTGACCGAAGCAAGTCACAAGAGCAGCCCAGATTTTAAAAGAAGTAAAATAGTTACAAAAAAGCCAACTATCAGGGCCATGAGTGCAATCAATCTGTGATAGACATGTTGAAAGATTCTTGTGCACAAGGGCGCCTCTTGTGTTTATGCTTAAAATACGCTCACCATTTGAGCCATGTTGGCAATAGCGTTAACTTAGAAAACCATAAACAACTTTATAAATCCCATGCTTATTGGAAAAGGAAGGAGCACAGTCATGTTTACATGTGTTTGGCAAAGTGCTTGATATAGTAGAAACAGTATAAGCTTTGGGATCAGACAAACTTTGGGTTTTAGTAGTGATTCTACCACTTACTTAACTATGCAACCCTGTTCACACATCTTAAATACTTTCAGTCAGTAAAGAGATAGCAAAACCTTCATAGGGTGGCTATGAGGATTAAATATAATTAGTACATGGTAGTGCCTGGGGTATATTAGGTTCTCAAAACTATTAATTCCTACCTGCCATCGCCCACATATGCACAGTAGGTACTTAACTTCTTCCTTCATCATTTCCTCCAGTGTTCTGAACTCCAACTTTTATAAGTGGGTTACTATTAATTTACAGTGGCTGGAGACACAGTTTATTTCAGAATCTGAAGCTCCCCATGAAGAAAGTCCTTCAATTTTAGTCGAAAGATTTTTGCTTTCAAAGCAAGGCTAATAAGCAAGGAGTCCAGGAAGCAAGTAGCTGACATTCATTGATTAAATCTTGGCCATCCAAGTTGTGGCTGCAGGTTAACCAAAGTTGGGCATCCACCCATGGCTTTGATCGTCACGTCCAGGATGTTGTCTTGCCCTACCCAAGATGAGCTCATTTTCGCCTTTCTGGGTAGACCTCTTTACCTCGTCCATGTGTCATTGTAGTTCTTACTCTGCAATTTCATTAATTTGCCCATGCGCCTGTCTCTTCTACTGTATGATGAGCCTCTCAGTAGCAGGATCTGGCTTTGTGTATTCTATGCACAACAGAAAACCTATCTCAACAAAAGCTTCAAAAGTTACCATCTACTGAGCACTTAATGAATGTCTAGGTTTACACATCTTTGAGTTTCCCTTACAACCAATGAAGAAGAAATTCTTATGACATTTTTTAACAGGTGAGTCACCTGAGGGTACAGAGAAATTCATTACGGTCCCCCGATCAGTAGAAATGATAGAACCAGGAATAGAGCTCAGCTCTGTCCAAAGTCTCTGGCTTAACATGCCTGAATTGTCTATTGGCAGAAGTCTGGTAAACTGAATTTGCTGAAGTTAAGACATCATCTCCAAATGTTGCAAACTAGGTCAGTATTCCGGTGCTCTGTGCCTGGTGGAGCCAAAGGAGGATTTCAGAAACCACTGAACATGTTTGAGGATGAGTACACTCACCATTTAGACCACATTAGCAATGGAATTAATTTAGGAAATCATAAACAATTTCATAGATGCTGTGTTTATTGGAAAGGGAAGAATCAGTACCATGTAAATATGGCTTTTGCTGTGGTGCCCTGGGCAAAGGCTCAGTGGAGAAAAACGTCTGGCTGGGCATCCTGGCCTCAAGTCCCATCCCTTGCCTGTGTTGACACCTGGCCTTGAACACCCATTGTCTGCCTGTCAGGGCTGCCCATAACCCGCCTCCTCAATCTCGCATATTAGCCTTTCAGACTGCTGATTTCATTACGTGATGACTACTGTTTTCCAGAAGTCTCGTCTAAACCACTTCCTCCTTCCTCTCTCCCTAAAGAGGAATAACAGCAACCTCAGAAAAGGTGGCTAAAGTTTAGCTTTTAAAAAGTAACCACCTTTTAAAATAAGACTCTCAGTTCAAATTCAACCTCAGCCACTTTTGTATGACATTACACAAATTATTGACATTCTGTGGCTCAGTTTCCTTATCTGTAAAATGAGAACAATAATCTCTACCAAATGAGATAATATATGTAAAATGATGGAATATAATAGACGAATACAGGTTTCCCGCCCTCATTTCTACCATCTTCAACACTTTTCTTGTGTGAATACACAGTAGGGACCTAGACGGAATATGAACCGTGATTTGGGA